AAGAAGTGAATGTTTTCAGATACTTGGGAGTTGACGTGTCGGCGGATGGATTTATGAAGGATGAGGTTAATCATAGAATTGATGAGGGAAAAAAAGGTGAGTGGTGCGTTGAGGTATATGTGGAGTCAAAAAACGTTATCTATGGAGGCAAAGAAGGGAATGTATGAAAGTATATAGTAGTACCAACACTCTTATATGGGTGTGAAGCTTGGGTGGTAAATGCAGCAGCAAGGAGACGGTTGGAGGCAGCGGAGATGTCCTGTCTAAGGGCAATGTGTGGTGTAAATATTATGCAAAAAATTCGGAGTGTGGAAATTAGGAGAAGGTGTGGAGTTAATAAAAGTATTAGTCAGAGGGCAGAAGAGGGGTTGTTGAGGTTGGTTGGTCATTTAGAGAGAATGGATCACAGTAGAATGACATGGAAAGCATATAAATCTATAGGGGAAGGAAGGCGGGGTAGGGGTTCCTCGAAAGGGTTGGAGAGAGGGGGTAAAGGAGGTTTTGTGGGTAAGGGGCTTGGATTTCCAGCAAGCGTGCGTGAGCGTGTTAGATAGGAGTGAATGGAGACGAATGGTACTTGGGACCTGACGATCTGTTGGAGTGTGAGCAGGGTAATATTTAGTGAAGGGATTCAGGGAAACCGGTTATTTTCATATAGTCGGACTTGAGTCCTGGAAATGGGAAGTACAATGCCTGCACTTTAAAGGAGGGGTTTGGGATATTGGCAGTTTGGAGGGATATGTTGTGTATCTTTATATGTGTATGCTTCTAGACTGTTGTATTCTGAGCACCTCTGCAAAAACAGTGATAATGTGCGAGTGTGGTGAAAGTGTTGAATGATGATGAAAGTATTTTCTTTTTGGGGATTTTCTTTCTTTTTTGGGTCACCCTGCCTCGGTGGGAGACGGCCGACTTGTTGAAAAAAAAAAAAAAAAAAAATATAATATACACTATAATTACACAGTTTACTACAGGAAAAACAATTATAGAAGTAGTTTAATTATAATTTATGGGCTTTTCAATGTATGAATTACATAAGCTAACCTAAAACAATAATAACTATTTTTTTATTGGTATTATTAGTATCATTATTATTACGCAAAAATTACAGTGGACCCCCGCATACCGGACGCCTTGCATAATGGACAATCCGCATACCGGACACTTTGATCGCTAAAATTTTGCCTCGTATACCGCCCAAAAACCCGCTCAGCGCCCTTCGTCCGAGACGCGTCCAATGTGCGGCCTGAGCCAGCCTCATATGTTCCGCCGGTGGCATTGTTTACCAGCCAGCCTCCGCGGTAACATTCAAGCATACAATCGGAATATTTCGTATTATTACAGTGTTTTCGGTGCTGTTTCGGGAAAATAAGGGGACCAGGGGCCCCCAAAAAAGCTTCTAGTTCCAACCCTTACAGCAATAAGGGTTAGAATTCCAATAGAGATGAAGAAAGAGATCATTGATAAGTATGAAAGTGGAGTGCGTATTCACCGACCTGGTCAGGTTGTACAAGAAACCCAAATCAACCATCTCTACTATTGTGGGCAACAGAAAGGCAAACAAGGAAGCTGCTCTTGCCAAGGTTTAACTGTGTTTTCGAAACAGAGATCGCAAGTGATGGAAGATGTTGAGGGGACTCTTATTGGTGTGGATAAATGAAAAACAGCTGCAGGAGATAGCGTTTTCAAGCTACATAAGCGAAAAGGCTAGGAAGTTCCATGAGGATTTAATTAAAAAAAAGGCCTGCAATATTGATGATGTGAGTGAATTTAAGGCCAGCAAAGGTTGGTTTGAGAGATTTAAGAAGCGTAGTGGCTACACAGTGTGATAAGGCATGGTGAGGCTGCCAGTTCGGACCAAAAAGCGGCTGAAAAATAGGGTGCAGGAATTCAAGGAGTACATAGAAACTGAAGGACTAAAACCCTGAACAAGTGTTTAATTGTGACGAAAACAGGCCTGTTTTGGAAGAAAATGCCAAGCAGGACCTACATTACTCAGGAAGAAAAGGCTCTCCCAGGACATAAGCCTATGAAAGACAGGCTTACTTTGTTGATGTGTTCCAATGCTAGTGGTGTTGCAAAGTTAAGCCTTTATTAGTGTATCACTCTGAAACCCCCAGAGCGTTCAGGCAAAAGAATGTCCTCAAGGATAATTTGTGTGGTGCTGTGGAGATCAAACAGTAAGGCATGGGTCACTAGGGACTTTTTCTATAACTGGTTACACCATGCATTTGCCCCCCCAAAGTCAAAGATTACCTAACTGAAAAGAAATTAGAACTTAAAATGCCTCCTGGTGTTAGACAATGCCCCTGGTCATCCCACAGACGTGGCAGAGCGACTTTATGGGGGCATGAGCTTTTATTAAGGTGAAGTTTTTGCCTCCTAATTACCACTCCTCTCCTGCACCCATGGACCAGCAGGTTATTGCAAACTTCAAAAAAACTGTACACAAAGCTCTGTTTTAAAGGTGCTTTGTAGTGACCTCAGAAACTCAACTGACTCTAAGAGAGTTTTGGAGAGATCACTTTAATATCCTCAATTGTTTTAAACCTTATAGGTAAGGCTTGGGAGGGAGTGACTAAGAAGACCTTGAAAATCTGCTTGGAAGAAAATGTGGCCAAGAAAAGTGTAGACAAAGGGATTTTGAAGGGTTTGAGGCTAACCCTGAGAGGAGTATACCAGTTGAGGAATCAATTGTGGCATTGGGGAAGTCCTTGGGGTTGGGGTTAGTGGGGAGGATGTGGAAGAGTTGGTGGAGAGGACAATGAAGAACTAACCACTGATGAGCTGATAGATCAACTTCAAGAGCAAGAGGCCAGACCTGGGGAAACTGGTTCAAAGGAGGGGAGAGAGAAATTGAAGGAATTCCTACTAAAAGATTAAGGAAAGTGTGCAAAATGGCTTGAGTGCAAACCTTTTTTGATGAAAATCACCCTCACACAGTATTGGAAGCCGGGGGTGATGTTACAATGACAATGTTGTGAAACTTTAGACAAATAAAAAGGAACGAGAGGAAAGGGCCCACTATGGAAGATATGTTTGCAAAAAGAAGCCCAGTGACTCTGAAGCTGGTCCTAGTGGTTTAAAAAAAGAAGGGAAGTAACCCAAAAAAGGGACTCGAACCTCAAGTCTTAATGGAAGGGGATTCCCCTTTAAACATAACTCTCTCCCCCCTCCTCCATCCCTCAATCATCACCAGATCTTCAATAAAAAAAGTGTCATGAAATTGGCTTTTTTTTTCATTTGTTGTATTAAAATTAACTTTTCCCTGTGGAAAAATTTTTTTTTTTTTTCTATTTTTTGGGTGCCCTTAAAAGGATTAATTTGATTTCCATTATTTTTAGGGGGAAAATTCATTCGCATACCGAACATTTCGCATAACCCAGCCCTCTTGCAGGGATTAAGGTCGTATGGGGGGTCCACTGTATGGGGGGAAAAGTCGTTGATATACCGGGTTTAAAGTGTAGGTAGGTTATTTTTAAAAAAGAATTAAGAGAAAGCGGGAATGGATAGCAGATGAAAAGGGGGGTTTTTAGGAAAGGGGGGGGTGTGTGGCCCAGGGTTTACAGTGAAACATAAAGGAAAGTATTTAGTAAGGCTAAAAAAGGCTTTGTGGCATTTTGGATTTGGAAAGGGTATACAGGGGGGATAGGGGGGCAAGTGGGGGATTTCAGGTGTATGGTGTGGGGAGGTTATGAAAGAGTGAAGGTTTTTTTTCGAGGTATGAGGCCAAAACAGAGTATGTAGGAAAGAGGGAAATTATTTTTCCCTAAAAATAGGCCTTTTGACAAGGATTGTGATGTACCGTGGTTGTTTAATATTTTATAGTGGGGTTTTAAGAGAAGTAAAAAGCGAGGGTCTTAGCAAAGGGGGGGAGTTAAAAGATAAAGAATCACACAAAGTGGGAGTTGTCACAGTTGCTCTTTGCTGATGACACTGTGCTCTTGGGAGATTCTGAAGAGAAGCTGCAGAGATTGGTGGATGAATTTGGTAGGGTGTGCAAAAGAAGAAAATTAAAAGTGAATACAGGAAAGAGTAAGGTTATGAGGATAAAAAGATGATGAAAGATTGGATATCAGATTGGAGGGAGAGAGTATGGAGGAGGTGAATGTATTCAGATATTTGGGAGTGGACATGTCAGCGGATGGGTCTATGAAAGATGAGGTGAATCATAGAATTGATGAGGGGAAAAGGGTGAGTGGTGAACTTAGGAGTCTGTGGAGACAAAGAACTTTGTCCTTGGAGGCAAAGAAGGGAATGTATGAGAGTATAGTTTTACCAACGCTCTTATATGGGTGTGAAGCATGGGTGATGAATGTTGCAGCGAGGAGAAAGCTGGAGGCAGTGGAGATGTCATGTCTGAGAGCAATGTGTGGTGTGAATATAATGCAGAGAATTCGTAGTTTGGAAGTTAGGAGGAGGTGCGGGATTACCAAAACTGTTGTCCAGAGGGCTGAGGAAGGGTTGTTGAGGTGGTTCGGACATGTAGAGAGAATGGAGCAAAACAGAGTGACTTCAAGAGTGTATCAGTCTGTAGTGGAAGGAAGGCGGGGTAGGGGTCGGCCTAGGAAAGGTTGGAGGGAGGGGGTAAATGAGGTTTTGTGTGCGAGGGGCTTGGACTTCCAGCAGGCATGCATGAGCTTGTTTGATAGGAGTGAATAGAGACAAATGGTTTTAATACTTGACGTGCTGTTGGAGTGTGAGCAAAGTAACATTTATGAAGGGGTTCAGGGAAACCGGCAGGCCGGACTCGAGTCCTGGAGATGGGAAGTACAGTGCCTGCACTCTGATGGAGGGGTGTTAATGTTGCAGTTTAAAAACTGTAGCGTAAAGCACCCTTCTGGCAAGACAGTGATGGAGTGAATGATGGTGAAAGTTTCTTTTTCGGGCCACCCTGCCTTGGTGGAAATCGGCCAGCGTGATAATAAAATTATAAAATAATTATTATTATTGGTATTATAAATACAGGTTTAACAAAGGGTAAAAAAATATAGGCTTACCCATGGACTTTTGTCAACAGTGTTGTAATGTTGGTTATTACTGTATCCACCTTTTCAGGGTCATGACTTGTTCCCATTTCAGAAAATACAAGGGCTTTACTCAGGTCTGAAATTAAACAAAAATATAATATAGTACTGATAGGAAGGAGTGAGGGAAATTAGAAAGGGAAGGAGGCAGGAGAGAGAGGAGTAGGGAGCGATAAGGTTGATTATCATCACACTTCGAGAGTGTATAAATCTATTGTGGAGGGAAGGTGGGATAGAGGTTGGCCTACGAAAGGTTGGAGGGAGGGGGTAAAGGTGGTTTTGTGTGATAGGAGCTTGGACTTCCAGCAAGCACGTGTGAGCACGTTAGATAGGAGTGAATGGAGACAAATGGTTTTTAGAACTTGACGTGCTGTTGGAGTGTGAGCAGGGTAATATTCATGAAGGGATTCAAGGAAGCCAGCAGGCCAGACTCGAGTCCTGGAGGTAGGAAGTACAGTGCCTGAACTCTGAAGGAGGGGGTGTTAATGTTGCAATTTTATAACTGTAGCGTAAATGTGCCTCTGGCAAGACAGTGATGGAGTGAATGATGGTTAAAGTTTTCCTTTTCTGGGCCACCTTACCTACATGGGAAATGACAAATGTGTTAATAATAAAAAAATAAGAACAAATATTTCATATATAAAATAATAAAACACTGCCAACAGAATTATTTATCATCATCACAGAGAAGTGCTAAACATAAGAGGGAACACACATGTAGGACCTGGGTAATGGAAGGCAATCAGGTTTAATTCAAGGGAAGACTACCTCCAATTCCTCAGATCAAGAGCCCATTAGTGGTATCAAGGCCCACCTTTTGAATGGATAAAAAGAAGAGGCTCTTCACAGATAGCTGTAGACAACTGACTGTTAGCCAAATTAGTCTGAGTTGCCACTGATCTTTCTGCTACATTTTTTTTTTTTTCAACAAGTCGGCCGTCTCCCACCGAGGCAGGGTGACCCAAAAAAGAAAGAAAATCCCCAAAAAGAAAATACTTTCATCATCATTCAACACTTTCACCACACTCACACATTATCACTGCTTTTGCAGAGGTGCTCAGAATACAACAGTTTAGAAGCATATACATATAAAGATACACAACATATCCCTCCAAACTGCCAATATCCCAAACCCCTCCTTTAAAGTGCAGGCATTGTACTTACCATTTCCAGGACTCAAGTCCGACTATATGAAAATAACCGCTTTCCCTGAATCCTTTCACTAAATATTACCCTGCTCACACTCCAACATATCGTCAGGTCCCAAGTATCATTCGTCTCCATTCACTCCTATCTAACACGCTCATGCACGCTTGCTGGAAGTCCAAGCCCCTTGCCCATAAAACCTCCTTTACCCCCTCTTTCCAACCCTTTCGAGGACGACCCCTACCCCTCCTTCCTTCCCCTATCGATTTATATGCTTTCCATGTCATTCTACTTTGATCCATTCTCTCTAAATGACCAAACCACCTCAACAACCCCTCTTCTGCCCTCTGACTAATACTTTTATTAACTCCACACCTTCTCCTAATTTCCACACTCCGAATTTTCTGCATATTTACACCACACATTGCCCTTAGACAGGACATCTCCACTGCCTCCAACCGTCTCCTCGCTGCTGCATTTACCACCCAAGCTTCACATCCATATAAGAGTGTTGGTACTACTATACATATACATATGCTACATATGTGGCCCAAATTAATTTACACCAATTAACATACCTGTTTCTCCTGATGCTGAAATTTTCTCATCATTCAAGTATGCACCCTGGCCTTTCAGAGCAGTAAACATGTGTTCCAGTATTGGGTTATACACAATGCCTACTTCAGCATCTTTATTTACCCACAGAGCCACTGAGATGCAAGTGTATGGGAAACTGTGTACAAAATTCATTGTCCCATCTACAGGGTCAATAATCCAAGTTGGCTCATCCGTAAGGACACATTTTTCTCCACCTGCCACAGATTCCTCACCGATGAATCTAAGAAATTAAATGCAATACTGTTAAAAAGTGTTTTATACTAGAGACAATCATTAATGCAGATCAGTAAAATATATTAGTGACTGTACCCAGGGCTGGATAAAGATGGATTTCAGGGGCTGAAGCCCAGGGGCCTCCACCAGCTAGAGGGCCTCCAGAGATTAAGTGAAAAGTGTTCATAGTTAGTGACTGCTGCTGAATTTTAATTGTGGTTAGCCTTGTAAAAATATATTTAATATTTCTTTAACTTTTTTTCCTTTTGAAAATATCACTGGAGGCCTTAAAGTGCCTATAGCCCAGGGACTTCCAAAATTTTAATCTGGCTCTGACTGTACCCAATGGAAATAAGTCACTCTGACTTTTTTGGGTTATCGTAGGTAATCTACATATGTGCTGCTATGAATAATTTATATAACTGTATTTATGTGTACCTTTACCTGAATAAACTTATACTGCAGCTATGCCGTAAATTTCTTGCCTCTGTGCAAACACTCACTGATTTCAAACAGGTATAACATGTAATTTTTTTTGTAATAATCTTTCGCAGTTAGTAGCTTCAGATGCAGGATTTCATTCAGTCTCATGTGGTATAGGGTAATATTAAAGGCATTCAGTGTATGCCCCTCTGGTTGCTCGGCAAACATCGATGCGATAGTCCAGTTCGGTCCAGGCGCTCTGCAGCATATCTGGAGTTATCATGCAAACTGCTTCAGTTTACCTGGAGAGAGTTCCGGGGGTCAACGCCCCCGCGGCCCGGTCTGTGACCAGTGATCGCAATTTTCAGCTCCTCCAGTGTTGCAGGTAGTGGTGGTACGTAAACTGTGCTCTTCACGTACCCCCAAAGAAAAGTCACAAACAGTTAGGTCTGGTGGCCTCGCAGGCCACGTGCAGAGGTCACCGGACCTAACTGTTTGTGACTTCTTTCTTTGGGGGTATGTGAAGAGCACAGTTTACGTATCACCACTACCTGCAACCCTGGAGGAGCTGAAAATTGTGATCACTGATGCAGTTCGCATGATAACTCCAGATATGCTGCAGAGCGTCTGGACCTAACTAGACTATCACACAGATTGTTTGCCGAGCAACCAGAGGAGCGCACATTGAGTGCCTTTAATGCTACCCTATACCACATTAAACTGAATGCAATCCTGCATCTGAAGCTATTAACTGTGAAAGATTATTATAATAAAGTTACATGTTACAACTGTTTGAAATCAGGGAGTGCTTTTGTGGACACTCTGTATACTGTACTGCATTACGATTATTTTAATTACTGCTCACTGGGTATACTTGTGCACAAATAACCCATGGCCTCCACGGCCTGGCCTGAGATCAGGCTGCGGAGGCATTGACCCACAGAAATTTTCTTCAGGTATCCCTCAGGAATCCCTAGCAAGACACAAAGACAGAACAAATAAATAGACTATTAGAAATAAAAGATATATACACAGTATGTAGGTACTAACTTGTGGTCTGGGAAGGCACTAGACAAGCCAGTTATCAGCAGCTTTTCTACTGCCTTGTCTGTCTCCGTTACAAGGTCCACAGCTGAACTCTTCATCTCAATATTTTTTTTCTTTTTGATGGCATCACGCACAAGCTGAGATGAAAAAAATTAAAACTTAATTTAAATTTATCACAAATATAACAATAATAATGCCACAATAAAATAACAGTACCATAATAATAATAACAGCTGTAATAAAAATAATACTACTAATAATATTAAGGGTATTACTGAATGTTGGTTCTTGGCAGAACTTAGGTATTAGTGAATATTTTAAGATAAAACCAATCTACACCACAGAATAAACTGTTATTTCTTGTGCAAATTTGGGGAGATATCAGAAAAATTATACCTTTACATATTTTGACACGAATGACTTAACAGGGCTAATCAATGGTTAGTATTTGAATCCCTTTATGCACCTGCCACTCACAGATAAAGTTAAAGACATACCAGTTACATTTCTGCTGATAAGTTAAGCTCTGTTATGTTAGGTTACATTAGGCTGTGTTAGGTTTTGCTGTTTTTGCATAACATAAAACAATTTCCAGGGCAGAGCTTACTTAGCACTGGACAACTTAAATTATAATTTCTTGCCAAATTATACTGGGGATCAATACTCAATTATTACCAATAGTAATGTACTTTATGTAGTGCCAGGCTCTGAAATGACATTTCAGCATTTCGGGAAAATTAGGTCCTTGTCCCAGGATGTGACCCACACCAGTCAATTAACTCCAGGGTACCCATTTTACTGATGGGTGAACATAGACAACTGGTGTAAAGAAACACGCCAAATGTTTCTACCTGCTCTGGGAATCGAATGCAGACCCTCGCCATGTGAAGCAAGATCTTTAGTGACCAGGTCATGGGGCACCAAAGGTAATGGCTTGTAACTTGAAATAAGCACAAAAATTACATAATTTACACATGATCTGAAGACTTGGGAGAAACTCAGTCACATGATTTAGCAGGCAAAATTTAAAATAAATAAGATTTAAGGAGTTCCAAGTACATCAAAGAATGTGTTTAAATTCTCTTTACTTTAAGTACAGTATTACAATCAAGGGAGAGCCAGGTAATTTACACTATGTATGATAATTGCACTTATGTGTACCTGTACCTAAATAAACTTATTAGTTCTATCAACCATCAGTGGCCCATCAACTATTGTTAGTCTATTAGTTGTTGGTTATTAGCTGTCAGATGCTGACCTGTCATCCATCACCACTAACCTATAAGTTGTCGACCTGACTTTCAGCCGCCATTATTAGCTGTCACTGTAAGAAAGTTTTAAGAGGTACACATAAGTACAATTATCACAAACCTTAGGATAACCACCCAAAGAGGTCAAAATGACTTATTTCCATCACTTGCTTATAATAATAATATAAATAATGTTAATAATAACTAATATAAATCTATTTCTACACATGCATGATAAATAGGTACAGGTACACATACAGTTACACAAATTATCATGCAAATTACCCACCAGGATAACCCAAAGATGTCAGTGACTTATTTCCATTGATGTTCTTAATACAACTTATACATACCTAGCTGACAGCAATGGCATACTATATACACACACATTATCAACTATCACCAGTATATTCAACACAACTGACTGCACAACAACCATTGAAATAAGCTTCAAATCACGTATGGCGACTCAATAAATAAGCCATATTTATTCACCGTCACCAACCCATCAGCCTTCACTGACTGGCTTACCATCCCACAAACTTATAATTACTATATTCCTGGAACTTGTGACTTTCATTACCTTTGTACCTAGTTCAGCTGTATAGTCCTTGTGGCTTAGCGCTTCTTTTTGATTATAATAATAATAATGTACCTAGTTCAGCTATCAAAACTTTGGGGGTCCAGTCCCTGGGCCCATTATGTAACTCTGTAATATTTTGACTACCACCCACAGGACGTCTATGGGGTCCATAATAAACTAACTAAACCTGGATGTCCAAGATCACAACACTCACATCACCGGCTTGCTTGACCAGCTTCAAGGCAACTGATAAGCATTCTTGTGGCTCAACATTCGCCATTACTATCACTTGTGTAGATCAATACCTCCTGTTGTCCTCAGGTTTTACTGGCAACTGAAGCTTCCGTCACGTAAGCAAAATCAAATCGTAAAGTTTAATTAAGTACAAATTTTTCAAAGTTTATTCTCTATAAAGATTACAATGTTGAATTTACAGAATTTGGTTGTTGTGTGGTTTACATGTAGTTAAATAATGATTACAGTGTACCACTAGAACACCTAGCATGGCTAGGCATTTCGGGCAAACTTAGTTTAATTCTTTATTTTAAAATATCACAAATTATGAGGTAAGTTGGTATTATGGCTAAGTGACTAAATACTAGTTTGTGAGTTTAGCAATGTGAATGCTTTTGTTTTGGCACAGTATATAGTTTCAGTATTGGAGTATCACAGGATTCATTATTTTAAGATTGAGATTAATATTTCTGTTTATGGTCAAATGGGTGAGTGAGTTACACACATTATAATACATAGTAACATGTGTAAATTACTTAGGATAATCCCAAAAAATTCAAAAGTGACTTAATCTCACTGGGGTCCTTGTAATATCTTATTAGTGGGTATAATTATCATATAAAGTGTAAATTACCTATAACTAAAAAAAAAGTCAAAGTGACTTATGTCGACTGGGGTCCTTGTAATATCGTTAATTTAAAATTTAAAAGTCAAAGCAGCTAAGTAACTATATGCAAATCATAAACATTAAGGTGACACATCAATGACGTCTCACCTTAATGATTTGCATATAGTTACGTGGAGACAGACAAGACCATACACTGGAACACTTAAGTCTTAAGTGTCCAAACATTATTTACAGTTTACATTATTATTATTATTATTATTATTATTATCAAAAAGAAGCGCTAAGCCACAAGAGCTATACAGCTTGCAGTTTACAGATATAATAGTTTACATGTGATAGAATATTGTTAGGCACAAGAGAAAGCCACTAGCATGCAATGTATTTCAGGCAAACTAATGCTATTGTTTAATGACTATTTAAGGACTAGACATAGATTCCTTAGTAGAATTTCATACAGCTCATTATAAATGACTCCTTTCTTCATTACATGTTTTAAATACCCCGAGACCTGAGTGTATCATGTCTATTATAGGCACAGTTATACAAAAATTAATAAGGGCTTGCAGTCAAGCTTTTCTGGATTCTCTCTCACATTGGACTCCAAGACGAATTAGCTAAACCGTCAGTTAATAAAGACAACATCGAGTATAATTCTGGCTTTTGAAACAAAGGTTTACGAAACAGAAAAGAACTAATAAACGAGTTTGAAGAAAGGACCCCGATGGAAATATAAAGGACCCCAATGGAAATATAAAGGACCCCAATGGAAATAAGTCACTCTGTCTAACTTTTTTTGGGTTATCCTAGGTTCTCTACACATATGCTGCTATGTATGATAATTCTATGTAACTATTTGTGTATACCTGAATAAACTTACTTAAAGTTAGTTTAATATGTTTATTATGCACCCCATACCCATCCTGTGGGCGGTAGTCAAAAGATTACAGAGGTACATAATTGGTCCAGGGACTGGACTCCAAAGTTTTGATAGCTGAGCAAGTTACAGAGGTAATGTGTACCTCTTCAGTACAGGAAAGACTGTGCTATAACTTAAATTGCCAGGCATACCATCTAAAGGGGACAAAAAGATACAAAACATCCAGGCCATGGGAAAACCTGGGTAGCCACAGCCACTCAAGAGGGAGAGGTTTTTTAGTGCCAGGAAGGAAAAAAAAACTGGCAGGAAATGGCAGAAATCGTACACCAAATCCAGTCATTCCTGGAGTGGAACCACAGTCGATGGCCTCCACTCCAAACCAACAGATACAGATACTAATGCCGGAAAAAAAATCCCCCCCCAGTTCCAACAATACCACCAGTCCGATAATATTCTTCTTTGCAAATATACAGGGTCTAAAGCCAGCAACAAACAACAAAATACCTTTCGTAATAAAGTTGGTAGAATTACCGACAATATGTAAAGTAAAAGGACACAATTGCAACTAATGTGACATTTATTGTGGCAACGTTTCGCTCTCCAGGAGCTTTATCAAGCCATTACAAACAATACATGGACACAGAGGGTATATAAAGGCTCAGAGTGAGGTGAATACTAGTGAGGTACCATTTCGATGTTCACTAGTGGTAGTAGTAGTAGTAGTGGTTTACCTGGAGACCTGGAGAGAGTTTCGGGGGTCAACGCCCCCGCGGCCCGGACTGTGACAAAAGTAATACAATATGGTAGAGCAATTAATTCGTACATGAGTAAAAGGATATAAAAGCTATTACCCAAATAGTATACACAAATAGTTACATAGAATTATCATACATAGCAGCATATGTGTAGAGAACCTAGGATAACCCAAAAAAAGTTACCTATTACTTGTGTCCTTTTACTAAAATACCTTTCATCCGTGGACTGCTTGCAGAGGGAAAGGCAATGTTCGCGGCTTTCACTGAGACCCACATAAAGGATCACTTGGACAACGAAATATGGATCCCAGGTTACAACCTATACAGATGTGACAGAGTGAACAGGCAAAGGGGGGGGGGGGTTGGCCTGTACATTGCAGAGTCAAATTGTTTGCACAGAACTGCTTAATGCCTCAAATGATGTAGTGGAAGTTTTAGCAGTAAAGGTCGAGAACCAAAACCTAGGCATTGTGGTAGTCTACAAGCCTCCGGATGCAACATCCAGCAATTCCAGGAACAGCTGTTAAAATTGACCACTGTCTGGAAAATCTTCAGATCCTGCACCCAACATCTTGCTCCTGGGGGATTTCAACTTAAGGCACCCAAAATGGAGGAATATAGCAAATAATATTGTTGCAGTAATAACACCAGGAGGCAGCTCTGATGAAAACTCACACTCACACGAGCTTTTAAATCTCTGCACAAAATTCAATTTAAACCAGCAAATAATAGAGCCTACTAGACTGGAGAATACACTAGACCTCATCTTCACTAACAATGATGATCTGATAAGAAATGTCACCATATCAAAAACAATATACTCAGATCACAACATAATTGAGGTTCAGTCATGTATGCGCGGAGCCCCAGACCGACATAATGAGATTAGTCACGAGGGAGCATTCACCAAATTCAACTTCAATAACAAAAACATAAAGTGGGACCAAGTAAACCAAGTCCTAACCGATATAAGCTTGGAAGATATACTAAGCAACACAGACCCCAACTTATGCCTAGAACAGATTAACTCGGTGGCACTCGATGTATGCACAAGGCTTATTCCTCTAAGAAAGAGGAGGAGTAGATGTAAAATAGAAAGAGACAGGCGCTCCCTTTACAGGCGATGGAAAAGAATAACAGAGCGGCTAAAAGAGGTTAATATATCTGAAATGCGTAGGGAGACACTGGTCAGAGAAATAGCAAGCATCGAACTTAAGCTAAAAGAATCCTTTAGGAGTCAGGAATCGCGGGAAGAACTAAAAGCCATAAATGAAATCGAAAGAAACCCAAAGTATTTCTTCTCCTATGCCAAATCAAAATCGAGAACAACGTCCAGTATTGGGCCCCTACTTAAACAAGATGGGTCCTACACAGATGACAGCAAGGAAATGAGTGAGCTACTCAAGTCCCAAAATGACTCAGTTTTTAGCAAGCCGCTAACCAGACTGAGAGTCGAAGATCAAAATGAATTTTTTATGAGAGAGCCACAAAATTTGATTAACACAAGCCTATCCGATGTTATCCTGACGCCAAATGACTTCGAACAGGCGATAAATGACATGCCCATGCACTCTGCCCCAGGGCCAGACTCATGGAACTCTGTGTTCATCAAGAACTGCAAGAAGCCCCTATCACGAGCCTTTTCCATCCTATGGAGAGGGAGCATGGACACGGGGGTCGTTCCACAGTTACTAAAAACAACAGACATAGCCCCACTCCACAAAGGGGGCAGTAAAGCAACAGCAAAGAACTACAGACCAATAGCACTAACATCCCATATCATAAAAATCTTTGAAAGGGTCCTAAGAAGCAAGATCACCACCCATCTAGAAACCCATCAGTTACACAACCCAGGGCAACATGGGTTTAGAATAGGTCGCTCCTGTCTGTCTCAACTATTGGATCACTACGACAAGGTCCTAAATGCACTAGAAGACAAAAAGAATGCAGATGTAATATATACAGACTTTGCAAAAGCCTTCGACAAGTGTGACCATGGCGTAATAGCGCACAAAATGCGTGCTAAAGGAATAACAGGAAAAGTCGGTCGATGGATCTATAATTTCCTCACTAACAGAACACAGAAACACCAACGTCAAAGACCTGGGAGTGATTATGTCGGAGGATCTCACCTTCAAGGACCATAACATTGTATCAATCGCATCTGCTAGAAAAATGACAGGATGGATAATGAGAACCTTCAAAACTAGGGAGGCCAAGCCCATGATAACACTTTTCAGGTCACTTGTTCTATCTAGGCTGGAATATTGCTGCACACTAACAGCACCTTTCAAGGCAGGTGAAATTGCTGATCTAGAAAATGTACAGAGAACTTTCACGGCGCGCATAACAGAGATAAAACACCTCAATTACTGGGAGCGCTTGAGGTTCCTAAACCTGTATTCCCTGGAACGCACGAGGGAGAGATACATGATTATATACACCTGGAAAATCCTAGAGGGACTAGTACCGAACTTGCACACGAAAATCACTCCCTACGAAAGCAAAAGACTTGGCAGACGATGCACCATCCCCCCAATGAAAAGCAGGGGTGTCACTAGCACGTTAAGAGACCATACAATAAGTGTCAGGGGCCCGAGACTGTTCAACTGCCTCCCAGCACACATAAGGGGGATTACCAACAGACCCCTGGCAGTCTTCAAGCTGGCACTGGACAAGCACCTAAAGTCAGTTCTGATCAGCCGGGCTGTGGCTCGTACGTTGGTTTGCGTGCAGCCAGCAGCAACAGCCTGGTTGATCAGGCGCTGATCCACCAGGAGGCCTGGTCACAGACCGGGCCGCGGGGGCGTTGACCCCCGGAACTCTCTCCAGGTAAACTCCCGGTAAAAAGTTTACAAAGGTAATGAACTCACAATTTTCAAAGGTAATGAACTCCAGGTAGGTCTGGTCACAATCATGACAAGTTACAAAGGTATTTACAGATTACAGAGGTACGTAATGGGTCCAGGGACTTAAACCAGAAGTGTATAGATAGGAACTAACAGGGTCATAAGATAAGATAAGATTTCGTTCGGATTTTTAACCCCGTAGGGTTAGGCACCCAGGATAACCCAAGAAAGTCAGTGCGTCATCGAGGACTGTCTAACTTATTTCCATTGTGGTCCTTTATCTTGTCCCCCAGGATGCGACCCACACCAGTCGACTAACACCCAGGTACCTATTTGCTGCTAGGTGAACAGGACAACAGGTGTAAGGAAACGTGTCGAAATGTTTCCACCCGCCGGGAATCGAACCCGGGCCCTCCGTGTGTGAAGCGGGAGCTTTAGCCACCAGGCCACCATTATAAATTTATGAGATGTGACAAGTTAAGCATAACTATTGCGGCCAAGTACCTGGACCAATTATGTGCCTCTGTAATCTTATGACAGCATAGATAAGGGTATGGGATAAATAACAGAGATATTTTACTATGGAGAGTGTGGAAAATACTGTATATATTTTCCGGAAATACGGTAATTTATAGGTAAATAGATGCCCTATATTGTATTTTTAAAAGAAGTATGATATCGAAAATGGGAAACCTGCGTCTGGGGGAGTCAGTCGCCATCTTGGTTTTGAATTTGGATACAACGTTGGTGTAAGGGGAAGAATTTTTCGTGCTCTGGAGGTTAAAATTGTGTTGACACCTCTCAAATAGGAGGCGAAATTGGTGGATGTGCATTCCTGCATAACTTGAGATATCAGGCGACTGGACAAGACAGCTCCAGGAACTTCAGATAAGCTCTCTAGATTTGTGTATAATTCTGGCCAGTGTTTTCATAAATTTAGTCAGTGAGGTTTTTCTGAGTATGATACAACTTAATATCCAGTCAAATTGGTGAGTGATTATATTTTCCTTCTGTTATGTATATGTGTATTTATATATAATAATTTTTTAATTTAATATACAGTCCACAAATTTATATATTTACCAGAATTCCTGGTGTATGTATAATTCATTTAATTAATAGGTCCAGAGCAACTTGTGGATATGACAGTGGTAGGTATCGAAGGGGGACATTTTTGCGACCTAGGTGTCCCAAATTCCTACTTGTCTAACTGATAAATAATAATTATCTATGTTCATTTATTGTTATGTACATAATTATACATACATATAAATGCAATTTTCCACAGAGAGAATAACAGGTCAGTAGATTGCAAGATGTGACTGCTAGACTAAGGCTAGGCTATAGGTATCACTAGCAGTACGGGTTTTATGAAAATATCCCCTCAAGGAAAGTTCCTTGATGTTGGTGAGGGGCTCTTGATTTAGGGAATTGGATCTGTGCTCCAGTTCCCCGAATTAAGCCTGAATGCCTTCCACATCCCCCCCCAGGCGCTGTATAATCCTCCGGGTTTAGCGCTTCCCCTTGATTATAATAATAATAATAATATGAAAATATCAAGAACACAAAATGCAAAGTGTGGACGAGACAGGGCCAAAACCTTCAACCTTTCAGACACCTCTATGCAAACCCTACAGGATATATCTGAAATCTTGACATTATATCTGCATTCTGAATCGATTAGATGAATACCCTTTTAAATAGCCGAAATCAACACCTGACTTGAAACTAGATTGCTTTTATGAAGTATTATTTCAGACTGGGGTGGCTACCCTATAAGTGTTGGTACCTTTCCCAAAATTCTAATTCTTAGTTTTAATTAGTAATATTTTTCACTCACAAGTTCACTGGGAATCTGTTTCCCTCTGTGAAACTTGAGATAACTAATAATGAATATATCTACCGTACAAATTAAAGTATATATGGAGGTTCCAGGGGGTCAAAGCCCCCACGGCCCGGTTTATTGTGAGCTTAAATTTAAATTAAATTATAAAACAAATTAATTAACGGAGTAGGTCAATAGTTATGTCACATCCTGTTAATAATAAACATGGAAATACTCAGATTGAGTAACAGTAAATTAATTATTCTGTATGAAGAAGTAATTTATCTCTTTTTAATGAAATATAATGCAATAATGATTAATAATGAACACAAAGCTGAAAAAATTATAAACAGTTTTTCCAATAAGTATGAAATTTACTTACATGTACAATGTATATATTTATAGATACAATATACATTTACATAATATATACCTTCAGCCTGGGAATCATTTCCACATGATGAGCATGTTAGGTCAACAGCTGTTACTGTTAGTTTAATTTTTTATTAAGTACCCCCATACCCATCCTGTGGGAGGTAGTCAAAAATATTACAGAGGTACATAATGGGTCCAGGGACAGTGTTGTAGCCTGGTAAAAGTCACATATAGAGCAATCTGGTCAGTTTAATTTGCATATAAAATCTTTTTGACTTTCTTAGGTTATCGTGGGTCACTGAACCTCTGAGGTTAAGAATTTGAAGAAAGTATTCTTTTTTCCATCAACTGGGGTTGAAATAATAAATACAGTGGGCTGCAGAAAACAATATGAAGTTCAACGATGAGAAATTTCAATTACTCAGATATGGTAAACATGAGGAAATTAAATCTTCATCAGAGTACAAAACAAATTCTGGCCACAAAATAGAGCGAAACACCAACGTCAAAGACCTAGGAGTGATTATGTCGGAGGATCTCACCTTCAAGGACCATAACATTGTATCAATCGCATCTGCTAGAAAAAAGACAGGATGATAATGAGACTCAAAACTTTGGGAGGCCAAGCCCATTTATGCATCTTCAGGTCAACTTGTTTTTATCTAGGCTGGAATATTGCTGCACTCTAAAAAGTCACCTTTCAAGGCAGGTGAAATTGCCGACCTAGAAAATGTACAGAGAACTTTCAGGCGCGCAAAAACGGAGATTAAAACACCTCAAATTTCTGGGAGCGCTTGAGGTTTCTAACCTGTAAATTCCCCGGAAAGCATGGAAGGAAAAATACATGATTATATACACCGGAAAATCCCAGAGGGACTGTACCAAACTTGCACACGAAAATTTACTCACACAAAGCAAAGACTTGGCAGACGATGCACCATCCCCCAATGAAAAGCAGGGGGGTTCACTAGCCTTAAGAGACCATCAATAAGTGTTTAGGGCCCCGGGTGTTCAACTGGGCCCCCCACACACATAAGGGGATTACCAACAGACCCTGGCAGTTCTTCAAACTGGCACTGGACAAGCACCTAAAGACAGTTCCTGATCAGCCGGGCTGTGGCTCGTACGTTGGTTTGCGTGCAGCCAGCAGCAACAGCCTGGTTGATCAGGCGCTGATCCACCAGGAGGCCTGGTCACAGACCGGGCCGCGGGGGCGTTGACCCCCGCAACTCTCTCCAGGTAAACTCCAGGTAAACAGTAGTACAATATCTAAACTTTTTAAACACACAGGTCGTCTCTGTTCACCATTATTTATTCAGTCACTGTCTTGCCCTTATATTATGTCTGTTAAAAGAAGAATATGTTAAATACTTAGTATTAAACTGTTCATTGACATCACAGTACGACAAGACAGGTTTGCCCTTGGCAATGATCCCACATATTCTGCATTCACACAGCAATATTAAGTTACTATATACTCCCGTCTGCTCGTAACATAATGAAAAAAATAAATAAAACACAATGGCCTGTGGTAATTTGCCTGAGCTATAAATAATGGATAAAAAACTGTTTTTTAAATTATCTGCCACGTTAGGGATCAGTGGTTAGATTCATACTGGGTTTCAGTGAGCTCTTCGCCTCACTCCTCACATGCTGACACACTAACATTAAGGTAAGGGAAAAATATTCCCCACTCATGGGGTATATACAATATATCTCTAAATTTTCCCCCACAGGTATATTTTCCCAAATTTTATATATTTTATTATTAAATATTTATATATAAAATATATTATATATATATAATTAATATATTTTAATATAGATTTTCGAACCTGACCCTACTAGGGAATATTAGAAAAAATTTTCATTTAAATATCCTTCGATAATGAGTTCTAGAAGGAGTTATATACCTGAGAAGTAGTATTTTTTTGGTATATATATTACATTATATTTATTGGAACTGTTTTAGGATTAGAGTACCATGACTGGTTGTGACTAGATGACATGGGGCCTCAATGACCCTTGTTGTATATAATCTTTAAAACCAAATATTCAAATAACGTACAAAGGAATATTTAATAGTGTGGGTATTAGCACCTTATGCCCGTCTTGTGGGAGGTAATGAGAAAGAGGCACATCGTGGGTCTGGGTACTGGAGCCTAACCTTTCCTTAACAAGTTACAATAATAATAAACTACAGTGTTTACAACATGCAGTAACTGATAGATATTAATGATAATTAGGTTTTGATTATTAAATACAAATGGCGTTAATAATAATGAGTACATTACACAGGTAAATATGGTGAAGGAGAAAGTGGAAAAGTTGGCCGTGCCTAGCCTCAAGCTGGGTGAAGGACCACACTGGCAGGAAGACCTACAAGCTCTGCTCTTCGTTGATGTCTTCGATAAGAAACTCCGTCGACACTTCATCAACACCGGGAGGAGCCAGGAGCTCTATTTAGGTGAGCTGTGTCATCATATAATTGCACATTTATATGCATCGTGGGGTGTTTGTACACCGTGAGGAACTGAGTTTTGGGCGTCTACTCTGCAAAGTGAATTGTTTACCATTCTAATGGCAGTAAAGTTAACTTATGCCACTAGGCATGGCCCTGATAATTACAGACAGACACAGACACGGCGAAGAGGTGGGGCCAGGAGCTGTGAATCTACCCCTGCAACTACATATACATGTATGTGGCCCGGTGGTCTGGTGGCTAAAGCTCCCGCTTCACACACGGAGGGCCCGGGTTCGATTCCCGGCGGGTGGAAATTCCGACACGTTTCCTTACACCTATTGTCCTGTTCACCTAGCAGCAAATAGGTACCTGGGTGTTAGTCGACTGGTGTGGGTCGCATCCTGGGGGACAAGATTAAGGACCCCAATGGAAATAAGTTAGACAGTCCTCGATGACGCACTGACTTTCTTGGGTTATCCTGGGTGGCTAACCCTCCGGGGTTAAAAATCCGAACGAAATCTTATCTTATCTTATCTTATCTTAGGTGGGTACACAAACACGTGTGTGTAACACTAGAGGTGGGGGTGTCATACAGACTTGAGTAGAGGGAGTAGGTAGGGGGGCGGATATTTTGATTAGATATGTAAAGCACTTGTGTTATCAGGCAACCTGATGGAAATGTTTTTATAAAAGCCTTATATCTCTTCAAGGAGGTGCATTGATTCTGGTGAATAGCTCATGATCCAAGAAACTGGAGCTGCTCTTCCCTTCCTTATATCATACTTGTTTCCCCTATTCCCAGTCGCCACTAATAGTAATACTGGGAAAAATATTATTATTATTATTATTATTATTATTATTATTATTATTATTATTATTATTATTATTATGTTTTTGTTTGTTTATATGAAAATGGTAAATCCATCGGGTCCTGGAATATGCAGTACCAGTATAGAACCCACTGGAACAGCATGTAAAGAAGCTGGAAAAAGGGCTGTGGTTTGCAACGTGACTAGTTCCAGAGTTAAGGGAATATGCGCTATGATGAGAGTCTAAAGGAGATGAGCCTGATGACATTTAAAGGACAGAAAGACTAGTCGTAGGTGGTGTCACCTTGAACAAATCTATAGATTTAGGCAAGTGTAGAATCCCTGTATGAAGATCGCAAGATGTTGCTGTGTCTGACAGGAATGTAGATATAAATGGTTCAGAGAACCAACAAGTTGGTAAATTTATAATTTTGTCAATTCTCTTTGAACCATTTCCCTACAGCACTAGGAAATCTTTATTGATGAAGTAGACGAAGTGGAGAGGTAGTTGATATAACCAGTCCATCACCATTGGAGCAAGATAATACATCTTTTAGCCTAATGCAGAAACAAGTGGCGTCTTGTATACTGGAAAGTGAGATGTAGCAGCTGGGAGATGAAAGTCAATGCACCAGTGACCTTATCTCCAAGCTGCTGCACCTCACTTTCCAGTATACAAGACTGACTGGTTTAGAATTCTAAAACACTTAAGCAAACACTAGGACATATTTATTAGAAAACGTTTCGGTCCTGGGACCTCGATCACTTCTAGCATACAGAGGTTGAAAGACATTATAATAGGCGGAGAGTGAGGTGTGAGTGACGTATGGTGACTTGAAGAATGCCATGTTGGGATGAGGACGGAAAGACGATGAGATCATGTGACTCCTGTGTTGCTGGGTAGGTGGTGCTTTGCCTGCTTGAGTATCATATATGCTAATGTTTTAGAATTTTTGTAGTTTCCAGTTTTACGTTCTATTGTGTCGATGACGGCGATTAGCGAGGCTTCTAGACACCCTCAGCGTCTCAGGTCTTGTTCAGTGAGAACGAGTTGTACCTCATCCCAGTTCATCAGATGCATTTGACGAACTGTGTCAGGGAAGCAGTGGTTCCGTCCAACTTAGTGTGAACAGGGGCCGCAGCTGTAAGAAAATATTCACATATACTTCCTAGAACGCAGGAGAGAGAGATACATGATTATATACTCCTGGAAAATCCTAGAGGGACTAGTACCAAACTTGCACACGAAAATCACTCCCTACGAAAGCAAAAGACTCGGCAGACGGTGCAACATCCCCCAATGAAAAGCAGGGGTGTCACTAGCACGATAAGAGACAACACAATAAGTGTTAAGGGCCAAAGACTGTTCAACTGCCTCCCAGCATACATCAGGGGGATTACCAATAGACCCCTGGCTGTCTTCAAGTAGGCACTGGACAAGCACCTAAAGTCAGTACCTGATCAGCCGGGTTGTGGTTCGTACGTTGGATTACGTGCGGCCAGCAGTAACAGCCTGGTTGATCAGGCCCTGATCCACCATGAGGCCTGGTTGATCAGGCCCTGATCCACCATGAGGCCTGGTCTCAGACCGGGCCGCGGGGGGCGTTGACCCCGAAACCCTCTCCAGGAAAACGAGTGACTTCTTCAGTCCCAGTAAAATAGCCAGTCGTGGTTAAACGTTCCTTCTAATAAATGTCCTGAACTATACACAAGTATCTTTAACCACATTCTGTCGGTATCAAAATACCATTTTTCACAAGAATAAAAACATAAGAAATGAAGAGAACTGCAGAAGGCCTATTGACCCACGCTAGGTAGGTCTGACTCACTCACTCATGTACTTGTCAGTTAGTTAGTTTAATATGTTTATTATGCACCCCATACCCATCCTGTGGGCGGTAGTCAAAAGATTACAGAGGTACATAATTGGTCCAGGGACTGGACTCCAAAGTTTTGATAGCTGAGCAAGTTACAGAGGTAATGAACTCACAATTTACAAAGGTAATGAACTCACAATTTACAAAGGTAATGAACTCACAATTTACAAAGGTAATGAACTCACAATTTACAAAGGTAATGAACTCCAGGTAGGTCTGGTCACAATCATGACAATTATTTTTTTTTTTTTTTTTTTTTTTTTTTTTATCACACCGGCCGATTCCCACCAAGGCAGGGTGGCCCGAAAAAGAAAAACTTTCACCATCATTCACTCCATCACTGTCTTGCCAGAAGGGTGCTTTACACTACAGTTTTTAAACTGCAACATTAACACCCCTCCTTCAGAGTGCAGGCACTGTACTTCCCATCTCCAGGACTCAAGTCCGGCCTGCCGGTTTCCCTGAATCCCTTCATAAATGTTACTTTGCTCACACTCCAACAGCACGTCAAGTATTAAAAACCATTTGTCTCCATTCACTCCTATCAAACACGCTCAAGCATGCCTGCTGGAAGTCCAAGCCCCTCGCACACAAAACCTCCTTTACCCCCTCCCTCCAACCCTTCCTTGGCCGACCCTACCCCGCCTTCCTTCCACTACAGACTGATACACTCTTGAAGTCATTCTGTTTCGCTCCATTCTCTCTACATGTCCGAACCACCTCAACAACCCTTCCTCAGCCCTCTGGACAACAGTTTTGGTAATCCCGCACCTCCTCCTAACTTCCAAACTACGAATTCTCTGCATTATATTCACACCACACATTGCCCTCAGACATGACATCTCCACTGCCTCCAGCCTTCTCCTCGCTGCAACATTCATCACCCACGCTTCACACCCATATAAGAGCGTTGGTAAAACTATACTCTCATACATTCCCCTCTTTGCCTCCAAGGACAAAGTTCTTTGTCTCCACAGACTCCTAAGTGCACCACTCACTCTTTTTCCCTCATCAATTCTATGATTCACCTCATCTTTCATAGACCCATCCGCTGACACGTCCACTCCCAAATATCTGAATACGTTCACCTCCTCCATACTCTCTCCCTCCAATCTGATATTCAATCTTTCATCACCTAATCTTTTTGTTATCCTCATAACCTTACTCTTTCCTGTATTCACCTTTAATTTTCTTCTTTTGCACACCCTACCAAATTCATCCACCAATCTCTGCAACTTCTCTTCAGAATCTCCCAAGAGCACAGTGTCATCAGCAAAGAGCAGCTGTGACAACTCCCACTTTGTGTGTGATTCTTTATCTTTTAACTCCACGCCTCTTGCCAAGACCCTCGCATTTACTTCTCTTACAACCCCATCTATAAATATATTAAACAACCACGGTGACATCACACATCCTTGTCTAAGGCCTACTTTTACTGGGAAAAAATTTCCCTCTTTCCTACATACTCTAACTTGAGCCTCACTATCCTCGTAAAAACTCTTCACTGCTTTCAGTAACCTACCTCCTACACCATACACTTGCAACATCTGCCACATTGCCCCCCTATCCACCCTGTCATACGCCTTTTCCAAATCCATAAATGCCACAAAGACCTCTTTAGCCTTATCTAAATACTGTTCACTTATATGTTTCACTGTAAACACCTGGTCCACACACCCCCTACCTTTCCTAAAGCCTCCTTGTTCATCTGCTATCCTATTCTCCGTCTTACTCTTAATTCTTTCAATTATAACTCTACCATACACTTTACCAGGTACACTCAACAGACTTATCCCCCTATAATTTTTGCACTCTCTTTTATCCCCTTTGCCTTTATACAAAGGAACTATGCATGCTCTCTGCCAATCCCTAGGTACCTTACCCTCTTCCATACATTTATTAAACAATTGCACCAACCACTCCAAAACTATATCCCACCTGCTTTTAACATTTCTATCTTTATCCCATCAATCCCGGCTGCCTTACCCCCTTTCATTTTACCTACTGCCTCACGAACTTCCCCCACACTCACAACTGGCTCTTCCTCACTCCTACAAGATGTTATTCCTCCTTGCCCTATACACGAAATCACAGCTTCCCTATCTTCATCAACATTTAACAATTCCTCAAAATATTCCTTCCATCTTCCCAATACCTCTAACTCTCCATTTAATAACTCTCCTCTCCTATTTTTAACTGACAAATCCATTTGTTCTCTAGGCTTTCTTAACTTGTTAATCTCACTCCAAAACTTTTTCTTATTTTCAACAAAATTTGTTGATAACATCTCACCCACTCTCTCATTTGCTCTCTTTTTACATTGCTTCACCACTCTCTTAACCTCTCTCTTTTTCTCCATATACTCTTCCCTCCTTGCATCACTTCTACTTTGTAAAAACTTCTCATATGCTAACTTTTTCTCCCTTACTACTCTCTTTACATCATCATTCCACCAATCGCTCCTCTTCCTCCTGCACCCACTTTCCTGTAACCACAAACTTCTGCTGAAGACTCTAACACTACATTTTTAAACCTACCCCATACCTCTTCGACCCCATTGCCTATGCTCTCATTAGCCCATCTATCCTCCAATAGCTGTTTATATCTTACCCTAACTGCCTCCTCTTTTAGTTTATAAACCTTCACCTCTCTCTTCCCTGATGCTTCTATTCTCCTTGTATCCATCTACCTTTTACTCTCAGTGTAGCTACAACTAGAAAGTGATCTGATATATCTGTGGCCCCTCTATAAACATGTACATCCTGAAGTCTACTCAACAGTCTTTTATCTACCAATACATAATCCAACAAACTACTGTCATTTCGCCCTACATCATATCGTGTATACTTATTTATCCTCTTTTTCTTAAAATATGTATTACCTATAACTAAACCCCTTTCTATACAAAGTTCAATCAAAGGGCTCCCATTATCATTTACACCTGGCACCCCAAACTTACCTACCACACCCTCTCTAAAAGTTTCTCCTACTTTAGCATTCAGGTCCCCTACCACAATTACTCTCTCACTTGGTTCAAAGCCTCCTATACATTCACTTAACATCTCCCAAAATCTCTCTCTCTCCTCTGCATTCCTCTCTTCTCCAGGTGCATACACGCTTATTATGACCCACTTCTCGCATCCAACCTTTACTTTAATCCACATAATTCTTGAATTTACACATTCATATTCTTTTCTCCTTCCATAACTGATCATTTAACATTACTGCTACCCCTTCCTTTGCTCTAACTCTCTCAGATACTCCAGATTTAATCCCATTTATTTCCCCCCACTGAAACTCTCCTACCCCCTTCAGCTTTGTTTCGCTTAGGGCCAGGACATCCAACTTCTTTTCATTCATAACATCAGCAATCATCTGTTTCTTGTCATCCGCACTACATCCACGCACATTTAAGCAACCCAGTTTTATAAAGTTTTTCTTCTTCTCTTTTTTAGTAATTGTATACAGGAGAAGGGGTTACTAGCCCATTGCTCCCGGCATTTTAGTCGCCTCATACGACACGCATGGCTTACGGAGGAAAGATTCTTTTCCACTTCCCCATGGACAATAGAAGAAATAAAAAAAGAACAAGAGCTATTTAGAAAAAGGAGAAATTATTATTATTATTATAATCAAGGGGAAGCGCTAAACCCGGAGGATTATACAGCGCCTGGGGGGGGGGATGTGGAAGGCATTCAGGCTCAATTCGGGGAACTGGAGCACAGATCCAATTCCCTAAATCAAGAGCCCCTCACCAACATCATGGAACCTTCCTTGAGGGGTGTACTTGTCACAGAATAGAATCTACAGTAGGTGTTTCAGTTGTTGAGCTTTAGGCGTTACCATTGTAGTAACAAGCCTTGGTTTAATAACAGTAAGGATGTCTTTGATCATTCTTCTTGATGTGTGTTGTGTGTGTACAGATGATGGAGGCGCGGCGGAGGTGGTCAGTGTAGTGATCCCGGTGGAGGATGATCCAGAGTTGATGGTGGTGGGTCTGGGGAAGAACCTGTCTGTGGTACGTTGGTCTGTTGATGACCCGGACATTCACACAACCAAGCCCAAGGTTCTCCATACCACCACTGATGACCACTTCAACGATGCGAAGTGTGACCCCCAGGGACGGTTGTGGGCAGGTAAGACCTTATGTGACCTGACCGGTTTTTCTTATATCCATGTTAATATAAAAACTATTTTAGACTCCGCTTTTCAGCACTAAGATTTGATAACGCTGAATTCAGTACGAAATGTCGTCTAAAATTAAAGCACACACTGCATCATGTGTATTTATATGCACTTGTAGGTATATTGTTCCATTCACAATATCTAGGCTAGTTTTGTCTAACACATAGCTAGACTGACCTATTAAAAGAGTTAATTTATTGAACAAATTTTTCACTTCCCTTGCAGGAAGTTTCAAAACGGATGCTACGTGTGCTCAGAAGGGAAATAAAACATTTTTGGCTGTGTTTATGGTGTTAGTTTTACAAAGACATTCCCAACGTAATGTAAATTTTCATTGACATGAACAGAGTTTTGTTTATGATTGTAGATAGTGTCTGAAATGCTTTTCTGTGGGTGACAGTCAAGTGATTATAGTATAAGAAAGAGTTCATGAACTGGACCCTAATATTCTGTTAGATCCAACAAATGCAGATGAATGCTTGACCAAACGTTTGTGTCGACAGGTACGATGTGTCCCCTAGACGACAAGGGAGAAGTACTCGAGTACAACAACTCCTCCTTATTCAAGTTTGACCACGACCTGGTGTGCACAAGCTGGGTGAAGAAGGTAGTTGAATCAAACTGGTTCTAGTATTTCATGAGGTAACTTGTTCTTAGATACATAACAATGGGCGGATTGTTCTGCCCAACACTTGAATACTCCAATAGGTATGAAATATTCTTACACATTATCATTATTACCCACAATATTACTTCTAACAGAAGTAGAGTTTTATACACTCTTTCTACAACGATTTTTTCAAGGCTGTGATACAACAAGATTCAACTCTGTATTGATTTTTATGGTCATTATTCAAATGAATCTTTCATTGAAACCTGATAACAGAATTTAATGTATTTTTATATGTGACAGTAAAAAATATATGCTTCAGGTGACAATATCCAATGGGATGACCTGGAGCCATGATCGCAAGTCCTTCTATTACATAGACTCAACTGCCCAGGTTATATACCACTTCGATTATGACGATGAAGCTGGGACTATCAGTACGTAAATAATAATATTAGTTATTATATCACTGAAGCAAGTATTCTGTGTAGCTTTAATGATGGGTTGTGTAAATGAGTGTGAATGTGTTGTTTGGATCTTGTCTGACGCTAGTCAGTAGGCCTACTGCGATATTGTTTATTTTCTTATGTCTTTTCTAATACGTCTCCACTGTTCGTATATCTTTTATATTCATGTGTCTGTTTCTATGTCTTTGTTATATTTTAGAGTTAATGACACACTACCAAGCTTGTTATACGACAAAATAACATGTACACACATATAGGATAAAATGTTATAATTAGTCTTTAGACTCCAGGTTTTCCAGGTTTCAACTCTTTATGGGCGATACTGTCTAGAGTATCTCCCAAGTGTTCTCCATTATACCGAGCCCTAGTTAAATATGAAATATTATTCCTGAATGGGGAAGTATCCCCTGAAAGTCACACTGTCTCCCCGAATTCTGATTCTTTATTTAATTAAAAACATCGTTCATTAGTTCGTTGAGAATCTGTTTTCCTTTGGGAAACTAAAGTTGAATAAGGAACATGTCTACTGTAAAATTCAAGTGCAGTGTCAGCTCAAATGTAAACTAAGTTGTAATGTATTTTTATTAATAGATTAAGACAATATTTACGTCAAATCGCTTTTAATACTATACATATGGAAATGCTTTGTTACAAAACTTGCTTAAATTCATCAACTCGTGACGTAAATATAGTCTTACATTAAATCAGATTAAGAAGATAGTTGTTCTACATGAAGTATGAGATAACTACTGTCTCTCTAATTAAATACAATTTTATAATAATTATTAATGAACATTAAACTCTGAAGAACGTGTAACATTTTCCACAGTAGTAATCTTTCCGTGGTTAACTTCAAATCTCAGTTCTATTGCGCGGTAGAACTTTAGTTAGTTTAATATATTTATTATGCACCCCATACCCATCCTGTGGGCGGTAGTCAAAAGACTAGAGAGGTACATAATGGGTCCAGGGACTGGGCCCCAAAGTTTTGTTAGCTGAACAAAGGTAATGAACTCCTGGTAGATCTGGTTACAATCATGACCAAGTTACAAAGGTAATGAACCATCTACACGTCTATACATGGTTACAATCATGTAGTACTACCGCACAGAATGTCACCTAAAGCAGTCGACTAACATTCAGGTATCTACTGACTGCTGGGCCAACAGGGATAACAGGAATTCGATAACTTACTCATACGTCTAACCCTGCATGGGAGTAAAACCAGTCCCTTTGATGTGAGGTGAGCGTTCTACCATTTAAGATACAGGTCTCTGTTGATGGCAGGTAACCAGCGTGTGTTATTGGACTACCCAGAAGCCGGACTGCAGGACCAGACGCCCGATGGCATGACCATAGACGTTGATGGTAACTTGTGGGTCGCCTGCTTTGGCGGCAGACAGGTCAGTTCCTATTTATTGTCAAGTGAATAATATAATTCACAGTACCGTGGATGGAAAAATTCACTTCCTTTCCCAGCATTAATATTAATAATACTAGCAATAATGAATGTTTTCCTAAAAAATATATAAGGGGTAAAAGCATAAGGGAATAGTTTGTTTACAATGTGATTCGAAAAAATCTCCTAATTTGTCATTTACATATTTCACCTTTCTCCAGGTAATCTGCGTGGATCCTAAAGAAGCTAAAGTGTTACGAAAGATCGCCATACCATCCAAAAATGTGACATCAGTGTGCTGGGGTGGGAAGGACTACTCCACTCTGTATGTCACCTCGGGCTACTTCAAAACGCCTCCTGACGAGATAGCTGCTTATCCTTCGACAGGAGGAACTTTTGCTGTCACTGGCCTGGGTACTAAGGGCAATCCTCCTGTTAACTATAAGGTTAATCTCGACAAGCTGAAGTAGAAGTTGATATTAACAACCTATAGGAGAAGTTTATAGTTACAAGATTAAATAGAAGTTGATATTGATTAGTTAAAGTAGTTAATCATGACAGCTGAAGGAAAACATTGCAGTATTTGTGGCAACAACTGAAACACTTGCCTTTTTTATGAGTTACATGGAGTAAAAAAAAATAAGTATAGAATTTGAGGAATTTCAGATTTTGGTCACAAATTATTGTCTTAGGGAATAACTTTACTATTAACTCAAATATTCTTAATTGTATTTTACACAGATGTCATAGTGACTTGATAGTCCAGGATGGATCGAAATACTTTCCAGTTTGTTTAAAATTTGTGGATTAGCTATGATTTCTGTTATATAATGATCTTAGATACATCATGTTTTAACCTTCACAGAATATGATCAATAAATATATTTAAATGAGTTGCCTCATAATTATTGATAGTGATTCACTATTATTCCTCATGTGAAACGTTGCAACATACATGTCAATATTTTTTTCATTAGTAGTTCCCCTTTAAGGGTGGATGCCTTGTCATCCTGCTGGTGGAATGGTTGACAGTTTTCCTCCTGACAGAGCACTTATAACTCCCCTCCTGTAAACTAATTCAGGTATGATATCATGGTACTTAGGGTTATGTTAATAATATTATGGAAAGTCCAACACATCTTGTGATCCTGACTTATGCAACAATGTGGGGATGTCCAGAGGGGTGGGTATAGCAGGAGGGGGGTGGTATAGCAGGGAGGGGGGTGGGTATAGCAGGGAGGGGGGTGGGTATAGCAGGGAGGGGGGTGGGTATAGCAGGGAGGGGGGTGGGTATAGCAGGGAGGGGGGTGGGTATAGCAGGGAGGGGGGTGGGTATAGCAGGGAGGGGGGTGGGTATAGCAGGGAGGGGGGGTGGGTATAGCAGGAGAGGGGGGTGGGTATAGCAGGGAGGGGGGTGGGTATAGCAGGGAGGGGGGTGGGTATAGCAGGGAGGGGGGTGGGTATAGCAGGGAGGGGGGGTGGGGTATAGCAGGGAGGGGGGTGGGTATAGCAGGGAGGGGGGTGGGTATAGCAGGGAGGGGGGTGGGTATAGCAGGGAGGGGGGTGGGAGGGAGTAACATGATTGAGATCATGTTGAGAGGTGAAAAATTAAGTAATATGCAAGGTGAGGGCTTGGATACATGTCGGGTTTATAATTGTATGACGGGTATGCATTTGTATTCTTGTGGTATAATATACCTATGTTTTAGGTGTATTGGGGAATGTATGATATAGCCGTTGTGTCGTTTTGGCATAGTGTGTAGGAGGGGAAATAATAAATTATTAGGTAAGAGTTTGTAATCTGTTTAGGGAAGTGGGAAAGGCCGATATAAGTCACTATACGGCAGTATGTTCTTTTATTGGTTTTAACAGATGCATGCATCATGTATGTACTTATTAAATTACTCTAGTTATGTTTATGACCTGATGTAGTGTCAGGCCAAGTTACTGGTTAGTGCCATATACACTGTACCTTTTTGTTTGTGCACCTAGCCATATAGGTACATGTTTAGTAAGTGCTGTTCAAAGGCAAAGTTCATAATATGGTCAGGGGTGTGTATATTAATGTATTGTATTTTTGGTGTAGGTGATTCTTCTATAACCTATGTTCAGTTATATGTATCCCTAGTGTGTATCTGTTAGCTTTTGCCTGTCACATGTAATGGGTTATAGGTAAACTGTGTATGCCGGTATGGTGCAACATTGTATGTTTTATGATTTAATTGTTTTTCACCCTTGGTTACAGGGTTCATTGTTGTAATGAAGTGTATTTTCAATAAAATATAAAAAAAAAAATAACTCCCCTCCCACCTCTGTTAGAGTTCTAGGTAAGGGTGCAAAAGTAGGACTGAACTCATGGATGGTCAAAGATTATTTGACAAATGTTCAGTTGGTTGTTTATTCTGCAGCATAAAGATCAGTGGTGTATGAGCTGTGAAGTTATACACTGGATACTGATATCTTGAAAATGTTTTAAAGCCTATACCATTGTAACTGAGTATTAGTCAAGACTCAACTGGCAAATGCAACACGACTGTACTTGTCATTATTCTTTCGTGTTAGAACGGCATCTATGCCAACTACACAAGCATCTGTTGTCATGTGAAATGTTTCTCAAAATTAAGGAATGTAAGAAAAGGAGCTGATGTGAGCCTTGACTTCAGTGTCTGATATGTTCGTTATTGACCGAAAGTCCAATTGAATGGAAAGAAGCATCTTGAGCAAGTGTCAAAGGAGTTGCAAGAGATGAAAAATTTGATAAATTATCTGTAGAATCATGCTAAGCCAACAAAGACTCTTATAATTCAACAATCTGCGGCTTAAGGAAATTACAAATAACAGCTACTTTGCTTTGGTCAGTTGTAACCCCTCTAGGAGTGAATGTGTGACCAAGAATCTTCATCTCTGACTTCAGAAACTGACTCTCAGAGAATCTAACTTTTAGGTTAGCATCAGTTAGTTCCAGTACCAGATTTAGTCTCTTGAGGTGTGTCTTCACACTGTGAGACATTACAGTCATATCTAAGGGATGCTCGTCAAGAATCTCAAAATATGTGATACAGGAGCTGCCAAGGATAAAGGCCATTCTGAGGAAATGATAATGATCTGTAAGGGTGAAAAAATTTGTTAATTCTTGACTCTCCCCATGAAGAGAGACTTGCCAAAACCGCTGCAAAAAGTCGAGTTTCAAGAAAACTTTGTTGCCACCAATGTTCCATAACAATTCACGCAGAACAGGAAAAGGTAAACTGTCTGGGATCATCTTCGAATGAGTCGACGAAAATCAAGCACAGGAGGTGTATATCTCTCGTACAGTAGATAGGTTTGAAACCCAACACACTAACCAACCATCTTGAGAAAGTAGCCAAACAAAAGAGGTGAAACATCACATTAGAAATAAATAAATACTTATTAAAACAGTATTTATCTATCAGCAGATACGCTACTGCTTGATCCCCATCAAAGGCGAGATAATAGTAGCCACAACTGTCTAGCAAAACCACAACTTTGTCATGTAATTGGTGGTATCCTTCCATTCACTGGGACAAACCTGATTACTTCCTGTTTCCCAGGAGCTGTATGACTCCTTCAGCAACATTATTTGTTGTCCAGTGTAATAGAACGCCCAAGACTCGTCTTTAAGGAGAAAAAAAACGAATCTCTGGTGCGTGAGTATGAAACAGGAACTTCGTGTAATCAAGATGCTGCGTCTGTGTAGAACATTGTATGGGCCTCTTGTTGCTTGATGAAAAGATAATAGATGGCCTGACTGGTGTCAGTCTTCCTTTGTCTCAAGTTAATGAAGTTCAGTTCTATTCGCATTATTGTCCTCACACTACTAGTTGATGGAGAATATAATCTACTTCCTTCTGGCATGTATTTAAAGGTCAGTGTGAGAAGGAATGTTCATAAGGAGTACTCTTCTTCCACTGTACAATTTTACCCTACCTGTGTCTAGCTAATGACACGAACATGTTACAAGTGACACTTAAAATTAACGTGTTAACTTGTACAGCAATCAGTTAGGTTGGAAGCCTACTTGTTAATCCATGCTCCAACTTTTACATAGGACGGTGGCCTGGTGGCGAAAGCTGTCGCTTTACACGGTGAAGGGGTAGAAACACCGAACGTGTTTCATTTACACCGGTTGTTTGTGTTCACCCATCAGTAAAATGGGTACCTGGGTGTTAGTCGACTGGTGTGGGTCGCATCCCGGGACAAAACTGACCTAATTTGCGGGAAATGCTCAGCATAACAAGCGACTTTCTATACAGTAGTATGTCATTGATGTCAGCTATGGTCTGTATACCTTGTACATGTACTTGTAGTAAATAAAAATATTATATTATAGGAACGATTACTCAGCATGACAACATTCTTCTTCTTGATTCGCTGGTACTCTGTCGACCCGGGTCTCTTCCAAATGGTGACCCGGCCTTGGGAGTGTCGTGAGACCTATGTCTCCCACGATAGGAGGTACAAGGACCTCTTCATCTTCGGGACCAACTGTCCCCAGGCCTAGCCCCATTCCCCGCCCTCTAGGGGCTCGTATGGAGAAGCTAGGCCTCTGGTCTGCCATCTGCCCCGCCCCAGGGGAATTTGTGGGAATGGCAGTCTTGTGAGCTGCAGGTGGTGGCAAGCTCTGGCTTTGGCACTTTCCCCGCCCTAGGAGTGCTCTTGGGAGTGGTGTCCTTGTCAGCGCATGACAACAACTGTAATAGCAGTGCCACTAGCTTCCACTGCATACTTATGTAATGTCTATCTGTCTGTATTGAAACCTTTCATGTAGAAAAAATAGTTGGAACCTATGTTAATAATGGTATATAAATGCGCATACATTTAGGAAAATATCTGCTGAACGGTTTGTTGTTGGCAATACTTAATTAGCTGATTCTTCTCAAGATAACAAGACAATGCTTGGTACCCCCACCATGATAGAAAGTTACCCTTCCAAATACATATGAAAGGTAATATATATACTTTATTGTTCATCAGTTGTTATTACCAAGTGTCACTGTGTATCTCCTAATAATCACGAGGATATGAAATGAATTATTGACCCAGTTGCATCGAGTAAATGGCTGTTTACAATGTGTTTTGTGGGGAAATTGTGGTTTGTGCCAACTGGTGATGCATCTCGGGAGGGGATGACTGCTACAGTAACCTCAGACCAACTTCCGATTACTTGGGCGTCGAGTGCACGATTACAACAGTGAGTACGTTGCACCTTATAACGATTATTTACGTTATTTATTCCCTTAAAACTGGAGGAAGACCAGGAATAAAGTATCATTAAGGTTCAGAACTTTTAGTTAAGAACCAAGCAAGGCCCAGCTGGTCAACACCACTATAACTGGTTGTCAATATCACACTAGAACCGACTGTTAACATCTTACTAGTACTGACTGTCAACATCACACTAGAACTGGCTGTCAACATCACACTAGAACTGGCTGTCAACATCAGGGATGGAAGATATCGGAAAAAGATGTCAGCATCCCGTGCCTTTCTCTATCGGAAGAAACACTACAAAATCTTCTAGTTCTATTCTTCCAAACATCCTCTAGGAAAAACAAGTTTTTTCGAGCTTGTTTGGACGCCTGGTTAGGTTTAGATGTCTGTAGGGACAACTGGTTTTATAACATTACAACAATTAAAGCTTAGTTGTATATTCAGTAGTGAAGTATTAATTTAGCTTTATTAGTGTGGTATTTGCCAATTCTGTGTAATATTATAATGCAACATCCCACTGTATATTCATTCTCAACACCCTAATACAAATCGCATTAATAAAAATTATTAAATTACTCAGGTAAAGATGGTGAAGGAAAAAGTGGAAAAGTTGGCCGTGCCTTGCCTCAAATTGGGTGAAGGACCACACTGGCAGGAAGACCTACAAGCTCTGCTCTTCGTTGATATCTTCGATAAGAAACTCCGTCGACACTTCATTAACACTGGCAGGCACCAAGAGCTCAATTTAGGTGAGCTGTTTCATGACTCACGAAATCGTAGTGACACAACTGCAAACAAACCATACCACGGGTGGGGACAGAACCCACGGTCAGAGAGTCCTAAAACTCAAGACCGACGCGTTATCCACTGGGCCGGCTGGCTACAATAAGATTCATCCAACTCCCTCATCACTCGATCAGAGTTAAATGACATTTTCTTGTTGACCATGGTACCTTCTTACTGCTATGTGAACAGGGGCAACGGGTGTAAGAAAACATGCCCAACATTTCCACTCGTTGTTAAGCTTTAGGTGTTACCATTTGACTCACAAGCCTTGATAAATAACATTATTGTAATAAAAAATAAGCGCTAAACCTATTAGGATCATACAGTGCTGCTGGTTAAATAACAGAAAGGATGTCATCTTTCATCATTCTTAATATGTGTGCATACAGATGATGGAGGCGCAGCGAAAGGGGTCAATATGGTGATCCCGGTAGAAGATGATCCCGAGTTAATGGTGGTGGGTCTGGGAAAGAACCTGTCTGTGGTACGCTGGTCTGTTGATGACCCGGACATTCACACAACCAAGCCCAAGATCCTTCATACCACCACTGATGACCACTTCAACGATGCCAAATGTGATCCCCAGGGACGGTTGTGGGCAGGTAAGATTTTGTGTGACCAGACGGATTTTTCTTATATTCAAGTTAGTATAAAGACACGTGATATAAAGCAAGACTTATTTTAGACTCTGCTTCTCCTCAGCATTGAGATTTGATAACGCTCAATCCGATAAGGAATGTCGTCTAAAATTAAGGCATGCACAGCATCACGTGTACTTAAATACACTTGTGGGCATATTGTTAATCACAGTATCTAGGTTAGTTTTGTCTAACACAGCCAGATTTTGTCTTAATAAAAGAGCTAATTTACTGAACAAATTCTTACTTCCCATGTAGGAAGAGTTTCAAAACAGATGCTACGGGTTCTCAAAAAGAGCTAATAAAATTTTGGCAATGTTAGGTAAATTTTCAGGTAATGTATCCATGGACTGGACCCTAATATTCTGTTAGACCAAACAATTACAGGTGAATTTCTTAACCAAACGTTGGTGTCGACAGGAACGATGTGTCCCCAGAATGACAAGGGAGAAATACTCGAGTACAACAACTGCTCCTTATTCAAGTTTGACCACGACCTGGTCTGCACAACCTGGGTGAAGAAGGTAGTTGACTCAAACTGGTTCTAGTATTCAATGAGGTAATTTCTCATTAGATACAAAACAATGGGTGTATTCCTTTTGCCCAACATTTGAATACTTTAGTAAGTTTGAAAGATTCGTACACATTGCCATTATTACCCATAATATAACTTTTGTAATTATTGGCCATTATTAAAATGAATCTTTCATTTGAACCTCATGACAGAATTTAATGTATTTTTATATGTGACAGTAAAACATCTATGCTTCAGGTGACAATCTCCAATGGGATGACCTGGAGCCATGATCGCAAGTCCTTCTATTACATAGACACACCTGCCCGGGTTATATACCACTTCGATTATGACGATGAAGCTGGGACTATCAGTACGTAAATAATAATAATAATAATTAAATAATTAAGGCAAGTATAAATATGAGTGTGAATAATTGTGTTGTTTGAATATTGCCTGACGATAGCCAGTAGGCCTACTACTGCAGTAGACCTACTGCAATACTGTTGTTTATTTTATGTCTTTTCTAATATTATGTCATACCAGTGTTCTTATTTCTTTTATATTCAACTGTGTTTCGTATGTTTCTGTTTCTTTGTTATGTTCTAGACAATGTATCATGTAGAGCAAGATAGACTTTAATAGTATGGAAAAATTCTTGCATAAGGTCTACGCTCTAAAGACTTTAAATTTTTTTTTTAATTATTAAAATGTTACTCATTCTTACGGGAAATTTTAAATGTATATTTTTAAATAAAAAAAACTTGTTGAAATCAACAAACTGTTCCTTGGTATTTTTTTTTTACTTTAAGAACAGTATTTTTTTCATAGTTTACCTTAGATCTCATTCCTACGATACACTAGTACTGCCCCATAGGTTGTCACCTAGAACAGTTGACTAACACCCAGGAACCTAATTACTGGTGGGTGAAAAGGAACAGCACGAGTCCGGTAACTTACCCATACGTATAACCGTACTTCTTGGTTTAATATCTTTATTAAGTACCCCCATACCCATCCTATGGGCGACAGTCTAAAGATTACAGAGGTACATAATGGGTCCAGGGACTGGGCAGCAAAGTTTTGATAACTAAACAAGTTACAATGGTAATGAACTATTTACGTGTACTTGGTATTCAAACCAGTCCCTGTGGTTGTGAGCTGAGCGTTCTCCCGTTAAGATACAGGTCTCTGTTGATGGCAGGTAACCAGCGTGTGTTATTGGACTACCCAGAAGCCGGACTGCAGGACCAGAGGCCCGATGGCATGACCATAGACGTTGATGGTAACTTGTGGGTCGCCTGCTTTGGCGGCAGACAGGTCAGTTCCTATTTATTGTAAAGCTAATTTAAGTCACAGTACCGTGGCTGGAACAATTAACCTCCTCTCCCACAATTCAGAGATAAAATTAGACGTTTCAGTAATCTTTGACCATTATGAATAATAATAATAATATTAGCAATGAATCCATTTTTCAATATATATATATATATATATATGTATATATATATATATATATATATATATATATACATGTATATATATATATATATATATATATATATATATATATATATATATATATATATATATATATATATATATATATATATATATATATATATATAAGAGCTAAAATCATAAAGGAACAGTCTGTATATAATCTAATTCGGAAAAAACTTATGCCTAACTCAAGTCATTTACATATTTTCACCTTTGTTCAGGTAATCTGCGTGGATCCTAAAGAAGCTAAGGTGATACGAAAGATCGCCATACCATCCAAAAATGTGACATCAGTGTGCTGGGGTGGGAAGGACTACTCCACTCTGTATGTCACCTCGGGCACTTACAAGATGACTCCTGAAGAGATAGCTGCTTACCCTTCGTCAGGAGGAACTTTTGCTGTCACTGGCCTGGGTACCAAGGGCAATCCTCCTGTTAACTATAAGGTTAATCTTGACAAGCTGAAGTAGAAGTTGATTAACAAGCTAAAGGAGAAGTTTAAAGTGACAAGTATAAGTAGAGGTTGATATTGATGAGTTAAGGTAGTTAATTATGACAGCTGAAGAAAAACATTGCAATATTTGTGGCAATAGCTGAAACACTTGCCTTTTTTATGAGTTACATGGAGTAAACAAATGGTACAGAATTTGAGGAATTCTAGATTTTGTTTACAAATTATTAACTCAAATATTTTTAACTGTGTTGTAAGCGAATGTCAGTCGTGACAATAGTTCAGGACGAATCAAAATAATGTGTTCAAAATTTGTGGGTTAGCTATAATGTCTGTTATATAACAATGATCTTCAATATATTAGTCTGTTTTACCATTCACAAACTATGATCAATAAAAGTACTTAAGTAAGTTTGCTTCATCATTATTGATAGTGATTCACTATCATTCCTCAAGTGAAACACTGGAACACACTTGGTATTTTTTTCATTACTAGTTCCCCATCAGGGAGCCATGATGATGGCGCAGAAATTAAAGCTTTCCATTTCCTTGTCATACTGCTGGGGGGGTCATACATTTTGTCTCCTGACAGAGCACTTATAACCCCCTCACCCACCTCTAACAGAGTTCTAAATTAACGACCACATTTTGTTTGCCAGGCAAGCATGCAAAAGTGGGATTGAACTGGATGGTCTAAGGCTGTTTAGACAAATGTCCGGTTGGTTGTTTGTTCTGCAGCATAGGGCCCCTCAAGGGAGGTTCCTTGATGCTGGTGAGAGGCTCTTGATCTAGGGAATTGGATCTGTTCTCTAGTTTCCCGAATAACGCCTGAATGCCTTCCAACCCCCCTGCCCACAGGCGCTTTATAATCCCACAGGTTTAGCGCACCCTATGACAATAATCTGCAGCAGAGAGGGTAAGTGGTGCATGAGCTGTGAAGATATGGACTGCATACTGATAAATGATGTCTCGAAAATGTTTTTGAACCCATACCATGGTAACTGAGTATTGACGTTCAGTATCAGTCAAGACTCGACTTGCAAATTGCAGTCGAGTCTTGCATGATTATCTACATAATCCAACAAAGGATAATAATAATGTCTTTATTTCTATAAGTACATGTACAAGGTATACAGACCATAGCTGACATCAATGACATACTACTATATAGAAAGCCGCTTGTTATGCAGAGCATTAGTCAGTCGACTAACACCTAGGTACCTAATGTACTGATGGGTGAACATGGACAACCGGTTTAAAGAAACATGCCCAATGTTTCTAACCTCGCCGGGAATCGAACTTGGACCTTCACCGTGTGAAGTGAGAGCTTTTGCCACCAGGCTGCGGGCCACCATCTGTAGCTTAAGGAAATTACAGATAGCTGCTACTTTACTGTGGTTAGTTGTAACCCCTCTAGGAGTGAAAGTGTGACCAAGAATCTTTATCTCTGACTTCAGAAACTGACTCTCAGGGAATCTAACTTTTAGGTTAGCATCAGTTAGTTCCAGTACCAGATTTAGTCTCTTGAGGTGTCTTCACACTGTGAGACATTACAGTCATATCTAAGGGATGCTCGTCAAGAATCTCAAAATATGTGATACAGGAGCTGCCAAGAATAAAGGCCATTCTGAGGAAATGATAATGATCTGTAAGGGTGAAAAAATTTGTTAATTCTTGACTCTCCCCATCAAGAGGGACTTGTCAAAACCGCTGCAAAAAGTCGAGTTTCAAGAAAACTTTGTTGCTACCAATGTTCCATAGAAAGTGATGCAGAACAGGCAACGGTATACTATCTGGGATCATCTTCACGTGAGTCGGTGAAAATCAAACATGGGGGAAGTGTATATCTTGGGTATATATACACCGAGAGGCGTGTATTTCTCAGTATATTTATACCATGAAGTATATATCCCTTAGTGTATAATCACTGAGATGTCACCACTTCACTGGTGGAGTACAGGTGACATGCAACCATGGCAACCCTCGTATAGTAGATAAGATTGAAACCCAACTTACCAAGCAGCCACCTTGAGAATGTAGCCAAACAAAGCAGGTGAAACATCACATTAGAATTAAATAAATACGTATTAAAACAGTATTTATCTATGATCAGATACACTGCTAATGGATTGCCCTCAGAGGCGAGATAACAGTAGCCACAACTGTCTAGCAGAACTCCAACTTTGTCATTTAATTGTTGGTATTACCTGGAGAGAGTTCCGGGGGTCAACGCCCCCGCGACCCGGTCTGTGACCAGGTCTCATGGTGGATCAGGGCCTTATCAACTAGGTTGTTACTGCTGGCCGCACGCAAACTGACGTACGAACCCCCTGCTTTTCATTGGGGGAGTGTTGCATCTCCTGCCGAATCTTTTGCTTTGATAGTTTGGTACTAATCCCATTAGGACATAGGAACCAATACTCTGCATGACAACAACGGTGCTACCAGTGCCAGTAGGCTCTACTGTATACTTATGCAATGTTTATATGTCTGTATTGCAGCAATTCGTCTAGAAAAAAAAGTTGGAACCTATACTAATAATGGTAAGTAAATGCGCGTACATTTAGGCAAATATATGCTGAAATGTTTGATGTTGGCAACGATTAATTTACTGATTCTTCTCACCATGACTAGACAATACTTGCCACCTTCACCATGACAGAAAGTTACCCTTCTAAATACTTATACAAAATAATCCATATATAAATATATACTTTAGTATTCATCAGTTATTACCAAGTGTTACTGTGTATCTCCTAATAACCACGAGATATAACATGAGTTATAGACCCAGTTGTATTGAGTAAATAGCTGTTTACAATGTGTTTTGTGGGAAAATTGTGGTTTGTGCCAACTGGTGATGCATCTGGGGAGGGGATGACTGCTACAGTGACCTCAGACCAACTTCCAATTACTTGGGCGTCGAGTCTTCCATTACAGCAGTGAGTATGTTGCACCTTATAATGTTGATTATTTACGTTACTTATTCCCCTAAAACTGGAGGACGACTAGGAATAAAGTACGTATCAGAAAAACCCATCTGGTCATCACGACTAGAACTGGCTGTCAACATCACATCATCTCGTGTTATATTAACGATGATAACATCACACTACCTGGAGTCTAGACAGAAATGTTTGGCAACATCATACTAGTCACATTAGAAATGTTTGCAAATATCACACTAGAAATGTTAGTTAATAAGACTAGAATTGGTTGTCAGTATACCAGAAATGGTTAACGCTAGAACTTGCTGTCAGCATCAAGCTAGAACTTGCTGTCAGCATCAAGCTAGAACTTGCTGTCAGCATCAAGCTAGAACTTGCTGTCAGCATCAAGCTAGAACTTGCTGTCAGCATCAAGCTAGAACTTGCTGTCAGCATCAAGCTAGAACTGATTTTCAATACCACACTAGAATTATTATTATAATCATGGGGAGCGCTAAACCCGTAGGATTATACAGCGCATGTAGGGGGGATGGAAGGTATTCAGGCTCAATTCAGGGAATTGGAGCACAGATCCAATTCCCTAGATCAAGAGCCCCTTTCCAGCGTCAAGGAACCTCCCTTGAGGGGACTACACTAGAAGTGGTAGTCAAATTTATACCTATCGACACTTTGTATCTATCCCTAGTAAGATGATACAGGATATATATTAAAAGGAATATTAAAAATACTTTCCTGGGAGATAAAGTTAAATCTCTGAAGGTCGTTGTATCTCAGTTGTCTTGATAAATCAACACAGTAGACTTATCAAGACAGATTTGAGATATCCACATTTCCTGGTTACTCTTTTCCTCGTGGTAATTAAGGTTGTAAGTGTGACCATATTTCTAAAAGGGTGGACGGGTAAGCCAGCGGAAGGTCTCGGTCAGATGACCAGAAGCTCAAATGGCGGGTCATTAGTTAAGATCAGCGTCAAGAAACACTTGTCCTGTTTCCTGACACACCTTATCTAACCTAACCTGGCCCGGTGGCCTGGTGGCTAAAGCTCCCGCTTCACACACGGAGGGCCCGGGTTCGATTCCCGGTGGGTGGAAATTCCGACACGTTTCCTTACACCTATTGTCCTGTTCACCTAGCAGCAAATAGGTACCTGGGTGTTAGTCGACTGGTGTGGGTCGCATCCTGGGGGACAAGATTAAGGACCCCAATGGAAATAAGTTAGACAGTCCTCGATGACGCACTGACTTTCTTGGGTTATCCTGGGTGGCTAACCCTCCGGGGTTAAAAATCCGAACGAAATCTTATCTTATCTTATCTTATCTTAACCTAACCTCGTGGTAATTACTCAGTTCTTTCTGTAGCCTGGTAAGTGTCACATATATCACAAGCTGCTGAATCTAAATTGCATTAAAAATATTTTTGTCTTTCCTAAGTTATCCTGAGTCACTGATCCTCTGAGTTTAAGAACGTGAAGAAAGTATTATTTTTCCTCTCGCATGTATCATATCATATAGCCATCAACTGTAGTTGTAATGATAAATGCAATATTGCAATATCTGAGCTTTTTTTACAATACAGTGATCGTCTCCTATCCATGTGAGGTTACCCACAAAAATGAAACACTTTCACCATTATTTATTCAATTGCTGTTTTGCCACTGTATTCTTTAGCAAAATATTAAAATGATAAATACTTGGTATTAAACTGCTCATTGACTAAACATTATGGCAAGACAAATTTCACCTTGACAGTGATGCCACATACTGTTGCTATATACTCCCATCTGCTTGTAACATAGACAAAATTATCCTAAATATAAAAGTCCATGGTAGTTTGCCATGGGTTATTGAATAAATTGGGACAAACAAGTTTTCAAAATTAGATGCCATGTTAGCATCAGTGGTATATTTCAGGCTGAGTCCAAGAGGTGACAGTATGTGTGGAAAATTTGACATTTTCAATGCTTTATTTTTTTATTTTATTAAAAACCGCACATATATATACATATATGGATAGATACACATAGTAAAAACATACAATGTAGGTAGTAATAAACATTAACTCCGCCCAACACTACACAAGGTCAGAAAGAAAATACACCATACCTATAAGCACAAAAGCTAATCTAACACGCAACTCACAGGCAAATACATCGGCATGGTTTACATCATGCCATAGTATATACACCATGCATCCTAAACACACTACCCCCCTTCCTCCCCAATGGAAAGGCATGCCAACTGCCACTTATATTTTGCATAAGTACACACATAATAATTAACCATAGTCATGCAGGTATCCACCGAACATCTGCATAACTAAAGTGAACAGCCCCCAACACTGGCATCATATGTACACATTATAAACACAGCTTACAGAAACAAAGCTTACTTTTACAAAAAGAAAATGAAGATATGGAATTTCACAAACACAGCGGCAACAAAGGCCAATCAAAGCACAATATATCCGTGCTAACTTTATTTTATTGTGTAATGTCTTAGCTAAGAAGAATCTGTTCATGTACTAGACAAATGGAAACACTTTAGTGTATCATCGCAAAATAATCATATTACTGAGATGTGGGATGAAATTTTTCCTGATGGGTAAAAGAAAGATTACACTAGTGTCGACGGTCGAACCTCAAGCAGTTTATAAGCTGAACTGTAAGTGTGAGGATTTCATTCATTTACGTGTACATTGTTACTTATGAAAGTCGTCATGACCAAGTGTTAACTCTAACAATAACAATGACAATGTCAGGGCACTCATTAGTTAGTATTAACTGTTGGTTTAAATACAGAACCCAAAAAAAAGGTGCTATTGGTAATGAAAAAAGTCTGCAAAGTGTATCCGTGTGGTCAACAGCTTAACAAAATTGCTTCTGGAGAGACGTTATTACGACTTCATGCTGAAGTACTCCTGTGTTATTTCTCTATATAAATCACCACAGGATCTGCAGAGGAGAGATGGAGCTAAGGAAGAAGACTTCGGAAAAAGACGTCAGCATCCCGTGCCCTTCTCTACCAGAAGAAACAAAGCATAATCTTCAAGTTTTCCTATTCCTCTATATATCCTCTCGATAAAATAAGTTATTTTCTAGCTTCTTTGGTCGCCTGGTCAGGTTTAGATATCTGCAGGGACAGCTGGTTATTAAATATCAATACAGTTAAAGCTTATCTTGTAAAGCTTACTTGTATATTCAGTACTGAAGAATTAATTTAGATTTATTAGTGTGGTATTTGCCAGTTCTGTGTAATATAATGTAACATGCCCCTATACGTTCATTTTCAACACCCTATTACAAATGGCATTAATAATAATGAGTAAATTACACAGGTAAAGATGGTGGAGAAAGTGGAAAAGTTGGCCTTGCCTTGCCTTCCAGTAGGTGAAGGACCTCATTGGCAGGAAGACCTACAAGCTCTGCTCTTCGTTGATGTCTTTGCTAAGAAACTCCGTCGACACTTCATTAACACTGGGAGGAGCCAGGAGCTCTATTTAGGTAAGCTGTTTCGTCATATAATTACACAGGATATATGCACCGTGGAGTGTTTGTATCTGTAAAGGATACATATTGTTCGTCCACCTAATGGCATTAAAGTTAACTTATGACACTAAACTTAACCCTTTGATTATAACAGATTCTGTGTAATCACTAAACACATTTAACTTGCATAATGACTAATAACATGCTCATTGGAAAAGCCAGATTTAACAATAGGCATATCATTCGCGGGAAAGGGAGTAGTAGGACGGGAGAAAGGAGTAGTGGTAGTAGTAGTAATAGTACTGGTAAAACAAGTGGTAGTGCAATAGGTACATCGCAATATATTTTATATATATATATATATATATAATATATATATTTTATATATATATATATATATATATATATATAATAACCTGTACTCTTAATACCGAAACTTATGACGATATTTCAGTTTGACTTGGACCATTATGAAGCCACACTGAAGCTATGTACTGTGTACTGTGTACTATGTACTGTGCCAAAACAAAAGCATTCACATTGCTAAACTCACAAACTAGTATTTAGTCACTTAGCCATAATACCAACTTACCTCATAATTTGTAATATTTTACAATTAAGAATAAAACTAAGTATGCCCGAAATGCCTAGCCATGCTAAGCGTTCTAGTGGTACACTCTGTAATCACAATTTTACTACATGTAAACCAAACAATAACCAAATTTCTGTAAACTCAGCATTGTAATCCTTATAGAGAATAAACTTTGAATTTGAATTTGAATTTGAGAAGGGAAGGGGGCCAGAATATATACAAGAAAGAGCAGGGGATGGCAGTAGTACAACGAGAGAAAAGAGTAGTAGAACGGGAGGAGGGAGTAGTAGAACGGGAGAAAGGAATAATATAATGGGATAAGGGAGTAGTACAGCGAGAGAAGGGAGCAATAGTGGTAGAATAATTGGTAGTAAATAGTCGAGGTAGAAATAAGACGGTATCAGTGGTGACAGTAGTGGTAATGGAAAATTCAGGAAAAAATAATGGCTAATGGCAGAGTGAAGTATTAGTAAAGACATAATAGTAGTAGCAATAGTAATAGTCAAGGAAGTCCATTAAACAAGAGAACAGAGGGGCACTGTAGGAGAGCTGCTGGCTCATGGGGTAGGATAAAGTGTCCCGAGCGACCAAACCCCATAAAACGTAATCCACCTTGACAGAAGACAGGAAAGGCAATGGAAATATAGGAAAGTTGAAGTGGTAAGGAGAGGAAACAAAGGTCATTTCAAGTCATGAGTGTTGTGAAGTTTAGAACATGTGACAATATAATGAGAAAGATCATCTACAGAGACAGAACCTACACTATGGTTCATGTTAGGAATGTTATGTACACGTAGTGCTTCAGTAAGACGGCATCTGTATAGACTAGAAGAAGGTTAGACATTTTTGGCAGAGGACCAGTTAATACGATGAATGACATGACAGAAAGGAGTATGGTTAGTATCGACAAGGCTAACACCTACTGTGCTCCTTTAAATTTGTCAGAAAGACCGCCAGTTTCTCCAAAATATTGGAGTGAACTCACGAAATCGTAATAACACTAATGATGACAAATCACAGAACAGGCCAAGTGGTTAATGCATTGACCTGTGAGTTTAAAGATTCACTTGCCATGGATTCAAGCACCCACCAGTTCTGTGATGTATTGAAGAGGAAACAAGGGGCAGGAAATACAATATTTCTGAGGCTGACTTCATATCTGCATAAATAACTCATTTTGTAACATTTTTGTGACTTGAATTCATATCTGCATAACTCGTTACAAATGTAACCAGATACTGAACATCTACTAACTTCTTGCATAACAAGCAGTCACCGGGGTTTTAATTTAAGCAAAATTCTGTATTGACCCTTCTAGCTCCCTCAACACTCGCTCGAAGGTAAATAACATGTTCCTGTCGACCATGGTACCGACCTACTTACCGCTATGTGAACAGGGGCGACAGATGTAAGGAAACATGCCCAATATTTCCACTATTCACAGAATCCAATCTATAGTAGATTCTTCACTTGTTAGCACTTGTGCCACGACCCTTCTTAATTAATGTTTGTGCGTACAGATGATGGAGACTCAGCAACGCACGTCAGTATGGTGATCCCGGTGGAAGATGATCCAGAGATGATGGTGGTGGCTCTGGGGAAGAACTTGTCTGTGGTACGCTGGTCTGTTGATGACCCAAACATTCACACAACCAAGCCCAAGGTCCTCCATACCACCACTGATCACCGCTTCAACGACGCCAAGTGTGATCCCCAGGGACGTTTGTGGGCAGGTAAGACCTTATATGACCTGACAGATTTTTCTTATGTCCATTTTAATATAAAGACACGTGACATAAAGCAAGACTTATTTTAGACTCTGCTTCTCCTCGGCATTAAGATTTGATAACGCTCAGTCCGATAAGGAATACATCACGTGTATTTATATTCACTTGTGGGATTATTGTTTCAGTCACAGTATCTAGGTTAGTTTTGCTTAACACATAGCCATATTTTGTCTAAATAAAAGTGCTAATTTATTGAACAAACCCTCACTTCCCATGCAGGAAGAGTTTCAAAACAGATGCTACAGGTGCTCAAAATGGAGATATTAAAACCTTTTGCGTCTCTTTTTAAGGTCTTTTTTAACAAATATACATCAGAAGTTACGTAAGGTTTCATGTAATGTATCCATGGACTGGACCCTAATATTCTGTTAGATTCAATAATTATAAGTGAATTGCTTGACCAAACGTTGGTGTCGACAGGTACGATGTGTCCCCTAGACGACAAGGGAAAAGCACTCGAGTATAACAACTCCTCTTTATACAAGTTTGACCACGACCTGGTGTGCACAAGCTGGGTGAAGAAGGTAGTTGAATCAAACTGGTTCTAGTATTTAATGGGGTAACTACTTCTTAGATACATAACCATGGGCGGATTGTTTTGCCCAACACTTGATTACCTCAGCAGGCATGAAAGATTCTTACACATTGTCATTATTACCCCACAGTATTACTTCTAACAGAAGTGGAGTTTTATACACTCTTTCTACATCAATTTTTTCAAGGCTGTGATACAACAATATTTGACTGTAATGATTTTTATGACAATTATTCAAATGAATCTCTCATACGAAACTGGTGACGGAATTAAATGTATCTATATATGTGATAATAAGAAATATACATGCTTCAGGTGACACTGTCCAATGGGATGACCTGGAGCCATGATCGCAAGTCCTTCTATTACATAGACTCAATCGCCGAAGCTATATACCACTTCGATTATGACGATGAAGCTGGGAGTATCAGTACGTAAATAATAATAATAATAATAATAATAATAATAATAATAATAATAATAATAATAATTGTTATTAGATCATTAAAGCAAGCAATCTGTGAAGTTTTAATGATGGGTTGTATAAATGAATGTTATTCATTGTTTTGGTTGAACATTGCCTGACGCTAGCCAGTAGGCCTACGGCAATACTATTATTTATTTTATGTCTGTTCTAATATTTTTCCAATGTTATTTCAATTATATTTAAGTGTGTTTCGTATGTTCTTATGTCTTTGTTATGTTCTAGACATTGTGTCATGTAGAACAAGATAAACTTTTATAGTATAAAAACTGCCAACATACTGCAACAAAGCATTGGGAAAATCAGTTACATAAAACCTATGCTCTGAAGACGACATTCATTCTTAGGTACAATTTTACATGTGTATTATTAAGTAAAAAGCAACACTTCTTAAAATCAGCGAACTAACTGTTCCATGGTATTTTTTTTCACTAGGAACAGTAATTTTTCATAGTTCGCCTCATACATGAGCCCAACGATACACTAACTAGCACTGCCCTAAAGGTTGCCATCTAAAACAGTTGACGAACACCCAGGAACCTATTTACTGCTGGGTGATCAGGAATCCGGTAACTTACCCCTACATCTAACCGTACTTGTTAGTTTGATATCTTTATTTATATACCCCCATACCCATCCTGTGGGCGGTAGTCAAAAGATTACAGTGTACACAGTGGGTCCAGTGACCCATTGTGTACTTCTGCACACAATAGCTGAGCTCAGTACGTACCTCTGTACACAATAGTTGAACAAGTTACAGTGGTAATGAACTATTCAAATGTACTTGGTAATCAAACCAGTCCCTTTGGTTGTGAGCTGAACGTTCTAACATTGAGATACAGGTCTGTCTTTCTGTTGATGACAGGTAACCAGCGTGTGTTACTGAACTACCCAGAAGCCGGACTGCAGGACCAGATGCCCGACGGCATGACCATAGACATTGATGGTAACTTGTGGGTCGCCTGCTTTTTCGGCAGACAGGTCAGTCCCTATTTATTGTAAAGTGAGAAATAAAATTTACAATACTGTAGCTGGAAGATTTCGCCACCTTTATCACAATTCAGAGAGAAAATTAGACGTTTCAGTCGTCTTTTACCTTTATCAATAACAATAATAATAATAATAACAATAATAATAATAATAATAATAATAACAATAACAGTAAATAAGGGCTACAAGTATAAGGAAAATATGTTTACAAACTAATTCGAAATTCAGTCATAGTGTAAGTCATTTACATATTTCACCTTTGTCCAGGTAATCTGCGTGGATCCTAAAGAAGCTAAGGTGATACGAAAGATCGCCATACCATCCAAAAATGTGACATCAGTGTGCTGGGGTGGGAAGGACTACTCCACACTGTATGTCACCTCAGGCGCTCTCATGACGACTCCTGAAGAGAGAGCTGCTTACCCTTCGTCAGGAGGAACTTTTGCTGTCACTGGCCTGGGTACCAAGGGTACTCCTCCTGTTAACTATAAGGTTAATCTTGACAAGCTAAAGTAGAAGTTGATGTTAACCATCAAAAGTAAAAGTTGATATTAACAAGCTAAAGTAGAAGTTGATATTGATTAGTTAAAGTAGTTGATCATGACAGCTGAAGGAAAATATTGCAGTATTTGTGGCAACAACTGAAACACTTGTCTTGTTTTTATGAATTATAAGGCCGTAAAAAATTTGGTACGGAATTTGAGGAATTACAGATTTTGGTCACAATTTCTTGTCTTCAGAGAAAAATTTCACCATTAATTCAAATATTCTTAATTGTACACAAATGTCAGTAGTGACTTGATAATCCAGGATGGATCGAAATACCTTCCAATTTGTTTAGAATTTGTGTGTTAGCTATGATTTCTGTTACGTAATAATCTGAGATACATCATGTTTTAACCTTCACAAAATATGATCAATAAAAGTATTTAAACGAGTTTGCCTCATCATTATTGATAGTGATTTACTATTATTCCTCATGTGAAACGTTGCAACATACACGTCGTTTTTTTTCAATATTAGTTCCCCTTCAAGAGTGGGCGCTGCCTTGATGCTGGTCAAATAAATAAAGTTATGCCTTCCCTTGTCATCCTGCTGGTGGGATGGATGATAATTTTCCTCCTGACAGAGCACTTATAACTCCCCTCCCACCTCTGTTAGAGTTCTAGGTAAGCGTGCAAAAGTAGGACTGAACTCATGGATGGTCAAAGATTATTTGACAAATGTTCAGTTGGTTGTTTATTCTGCAGCATAAAGATCAGTGGTGTATGAGCTGTGAAGTTATACACTGGATACTGATATCTTGAAAATGTTTTAAAGCCTATACCATTGTAACTGAGTATTAGTCAAGACTCAACTGGCAAATGCAACACGACTGTACTTGTCATTATTCTTTCGTGTTAGGACGGCATCTATGCCAACTACACTAGCATCTGTTGTCATGTGAAATGTTTCTCAAAGTTAAGGAATGTAAGAACAGGAGCTGATGTGAGCCTTGACTTCAGTGTCTGAAATGTCCGTTATTGATTGAATGTCCCTTGAGCAAGTCTGTCAAGGGAGATCTGGGATCATCATCGCATGAGTCGATGAAAATCAAACAGGGGGTAAGTGTATATCTCTGGGTATATATACACCGAGAGGCGTGTATTTCTCAGTATATTTACACCATGAGGTATGTATCCATTAGTGTATAATCACTGGGAGGTCACTTCAAGCAATATAATATGTATTAAAGTTTGCTTCACTCGTGGTGTACAGACGACTTGCAACCATAACAGCCCTCATATACTAGATAAGATTGAAACCAAGTCACAGACCTGGAGTTTACCTGGAGAGAGTTATAGGGTCAACGCCCCCGCGGCCCAGTCTGTGACCAGGCCTCACCAAGCAGCCACCTCGAGAATGTAGCCAAATAAAGCAGGTGAAACCGCACATTATAATTAAATAAATGCGTATTAAAACAGTATTTATCTATGAGCAGACACGTTGCTGATGGATTGCCCTCAGAGACGAGATAACAGTAGCCACAACTGTCTAGCACAACCACAACTCTGTCATGTAATTGGTGGTATCCTTCCATTCACTGGGATACACCTGATTACTTCCTATTTCCCAGGCGCTGTATGACCCCTTCAGCAGCAATATTGCTAAGTGTAATAAAACGCCCAGAGACTTGTCTTTAAGGAGAAAAACTAATCTGTGGAGTGTATGTAACGGTACTTCATGTTGTCAAGGAGCTGCACTTGTATAGAATAGATGTGTAAAACATATTATGTGTGTTGAACACAGCAGGTGTCTGGTGATTTTGCTAATGTACCAAAGCTATGGAACTCTTCTAGCTTTGTTTAATGATGATAGATGGACTGACTGATGTCAGTCTTTCTCTGTCTCAAGTTTATGAAATTCAGTTGAAGTTCTCATACTACTAGTTGACTTCCAATACTGTAATCTACTTCCTTCTGTCATGTAATTATAGGTCAATGTGAGAAGGAATGTTTATAAGTACTCTGGCCAATGAAACGAGCATGTCAAAAGTGACACATAAAAATTAACGTGTCAACTTGAGAGACACAGACATATTTGAGTGCAAAGAGTATAGAAAGAAGTTAAGTTTGAAGGTTTAAGCCTACTTGTTTTTAATGTCCTCCAATTTTTACATAGGAACCAATAATCTGCATGACAACAACGGTGCTACCAGTGCCAGTAGGCTCTACTGTATACTTATACAATGTTTACTGCATACTTATACAATGTTTACTGCATACTTATACAATGTTTACTGTATACTTATACAATGTTTACTGCATACTTATACAATGTTTACTGCATACTTATACAACGTTTACTGTATACTTATACAATGTTTACTGCATACTTATACAATGTTTACTGCATACTTATACAATGTTTACTGTATACTTATACAATGTTTACTGCATACTTATACAATGTTTACTGCATACTTATACAATGTTTACTGCATACTTATACAATGTTTACTGCATACTTATACAATGTTTACTGCATACTTATACAATGTTTACTGCATACTTATACAATGTTTACTGTATACTTATACAATGTTTACTGTATACTTATACAATGTTTACTGCATACTTATACAATGTTTACTGCATACTTATACAATGTTTACTGCATACTTATACAATGTTTACTGTATACTTATACAATGTTTACTGCATACTTATGCAATGTTTACTGCATACTTATGCAATGTTTACTGCATACTTATGCAATGTTTACTGCATACTTATGCAATGTTTACTGCATACTTATGCAATGTTTATATGTCTGTATTGCAATAATTCATCTAGAAAAGAAATTGTTGGGACCTACGTTAATAATGGTAAAAAAAATGCGCGTACATTTAGGCAAATATCTGGCAATGATTAATTTATTTCTTCTTCTCACGATGACCGAACAATAATTGGCACCTTCACCATGATGGAAAGTTACCCTTCTAAATACTTATAAAAAATAATATGTATATATACTTCAGTATTCATCAGGTATTACCAAGTGTCATTGCGTATCTCTTAATAACCACAAGGGTATAACATGAGTTATAGAATCAGTTGTATCGAATAAATGGCTGTTTACAATGTGTTTTGCGGAGAAATTGTGGTTTGTGCCAACTGGTGATGCATCTCGGGAGGGGATGACTGCTACAGTAACCTCAGACCAACTTCCAATTACTTGGGCGTCGAGTGCACGATTACAGCAGTGAGTACGTTGCGCCTTATAACGTTGATTATTTACGTTACTTATTCCCCTAAAACTGGAGGAAGACTAGGAATTTTGTATCACTTGTGGGTCAGAACTTTTATTTAAGAACCAAGCAAGGCCCAACCGGTCAACATCACACTAAAACTGGCTGTCAACATCACACCAGAACTGGCTATCAACATCACACTACAACTTGCTGTCAACATCACACTAAAAATGGCTGTCAACATCACACTAGAACTGGCTGTCAACATCACACTAGAACTGGCTGTCACCATCACATTAAAACTTGCTGTCAACATCACACTAAAAATGGCTGTCAACATCACAGTAGAACTGGCTGTCAACATCACACTAGAACTGGATGTCAACATCACACTAGAACTGGATGTCAACATCACACTAGAACTTGCTTTTAACATCACACTAAAAATGTCTGTCAACATCACACTAGAACTTGCTGGCAACATCACACTACAACCGGCTGTCAATTTCACACTAGAACTTGCTGTCAGCATCACACTAGAACTGGTTTTTAAAACCACGCCAGAAGTGGTAGTCAAATTTTTACCTATCGACACTTTGTATCTATCCCTAGTAAGATTTTACAGGATATAGATTAAAGGGAATAAAAAAGAATACTTTCCTGGGAGGTAAAGTTAAATCTCTGAAGGTCGTGGTACCTCCAATACGTTGTCTTGGTAAGTCCACACAGTGGTAGTTTCTGGTGCATCAGATCTGCGATATCAACATTTACTGGTTATTCTTTTCCTCGTAGTAATTAAGGCCATATATTTTATGGTCATATATTTTAAAGGCGTGGACTGGTAGGCCAGCGTAAGGCGGGTCATCAGCTGAGACCAGCGTCAGGAAACACTTGTCCTGTTTCCTGACACACCTTATCTAACCTAACCTAACCTCGTGGTAATTACTCAGTTCTTTCTGTAGCCTGGTAAGTGTCACATATATCACAAGCTGCTGAATCTAAATTGCATTAAAAATATTTTTGTCTTTCCTAAGTTATCCTGAGTCACTGATCTTCTGAGTTTAAGAACGTGAAGAAAGTATTATTTTTGGTGGCCCGGTGGTCTGGTGGCTAAAGCTCCCGCTTCACACACGGAGGGCCCGGGTTCGATTCCCGGCGGGTGGAAATTCCGACACGTTTCCTTACACCTATTGTCCTGTTCACCTAGCAGCAAATAGGTACCTGGGTGTTAGTCGACTGGTGTGGGTCGCATCCTGGGGGACAAGATTGAGGACCCCAATGGAAATAAGTTAGACAGTCCTCGATGACGCACTGACTTTCTTGGGTTATCCTGGGTGGCTAACCCTCCGGGGTTAAAAATCCGAACGAAATCTTATCTTATCTTATCTTATCCTCTCGCATATATCATATCATATAGCCATCAACTGTAGTTGTAATGATAAATGCAATATTGCAATATCTGAGCTTTTTTTACAATACAGTGATCGTCTCCTATCCAGGTGAGGTTACCCACGAAAATGAAACACTTTCACCATTATTTATTCAATTGCTGTTTTGCCACTGTATTCTTTAGCAAAATATTAAAATGATAAATACTTGGTATTAAACTGCTCATTGACTAAACATTATGGCAAGACAAATTTCACCTTGACAGTGATGCCACATACTGTTGCTATATACTCCCATCTGCTTGTAACATAGACAAAATTATCCTAAATATAAAAGTCCATGGTAGTTTGCCATGGGTTATTGAATAAATTGGGACAAACAAGTTTTCAAAATTAGATGCCATGTTAGCATCAGTGGTATATTTCAGGCTGAGTCCAAGAGGTGAGAGTATGTGTGGAAAATTTGACATTTTCAATGCTTTATTGAAGAGTGTAATGTCTTATTTAAGAAAATTCTGTTCATGCACTAGACAAATGGAAACACTTTACTGTATCATCACAAAATAATCATATTACTGAGATGAGGAATGAAATTTTCCTTGATAGATAAAAGAAAGATTACACTAGTGTCGACGGTCGAACCTCAAGCAGTTTATAAGCTGAACTGTAAGTGTGAGGATTTCATTCATTTACGTGTACATTGTTACTTATGAAAGTCGTCATGAGCAGGTGTTAACTCTAACAATAACAATGACAATGTCAGGGCGCTCATTAGTTAGTATTAACAGTTAGCTTAAATACAGAACCAAAAAAAAAA